GGTAGACATCATTTTTCAGAAGGAAACTGTGAAATAGTTTCAATCAACACTGAAAATATGGTTGCGGATATGTGACTAAAAGTTTAGCCAAGATTAAATTCAATAAGTTTGTTGGTCTAGCTGGAATGTCGAACATATCTACAAGTGTTTAGATTATGGTGGGGTGTTGAGATAAGATGCCGAAGCCAATCATGATCGAGTGATAAGAGATAAGAGTCTTATCATGATAAGGCATCTTAAGTAATCTAAAACTGGAAAGTTAGCCGCCATGATAAATGAATAATGGCAAGTTTAACCGAAGGTGTAAGTGTATAAATACAAGAGGTTTGTCCCTTGTATTTATGTTTGAGAATATTAGTTTGTAGGCTAGTTATATTAGTTATAAATTAATAAGCAACAAACATAAGAAAAAGTGAACATATACAATGGATATTCATAATAGAATAGCTAGATTACAACAGTAATAAAGGGCCAACCATGGATTCAAGCACTGAAGACTACCAGTTATTAGGCTGATAGACCGTAAAGTCTAACCTTCCTAAAGTAGAGCACGGTCACCTGCTAGCCTTTTTAAGCTAAATGGAATAAATTTTACAATGGGAAGGTTTCCGACGGTTAATTATTAGTGTCTATGAGGCCTTGATTCAAATCAAGTCAAAAGAATGGACTACGTTATACTGTCTTTGCTATGTACATGAAGTTTATTTAGATTTGCACCCCAATTCGTTTATAGTCAGTACACTGATCAATATGCCAAGCTAGTTGTCTCCGGAGATTAGCATCTGATACGAACTTACTCACGCTGGGGCCAGAGAAGTCGACCACGTTGCCTTTCGTGGACAGAGCCAGCACGAGATCATCTAAGCGATGATCATCGTCATCTTTATCAAACTCCAAGCCAACTACTCGTCCTTGGTTGACATCAAATTTTAGTTTCATGTTTCCATCTTCCAATGTAAAATCCATTTGGAACCTTGGGGATTTACCAAAAGTCCAATCCCAGCTGCACAACTGATCATATGTCTCCAAGATCTCGGCTGGTAGTTCGGTCATATCGTCAATTTTGAGAAGCTGCGCCTCTATGTTATGATGCCTGACAAGGTGCAAGTTGTCCACTTTCAGTTTCTCAATTTTTGAGCCTAGGTCTGTAGGAACACCAAATTTCCCGACAAACGAATCGATACACAGTTCCACAAAGGTGTTTTGATCCATGTTTGTGTTTGTAACAGGGCTTGGAATTGACTTCGTTGCACGGTCCTGGATGCTGGATAACCTGGACTCATCCAGTTTTATTAACCTGCCCAAAGTGTGCAAATCTGAGTTGAGAAGCATCGTTCCATGGTGTAGAGACTTGCCCTTCGAGATTTGGAAGGCAGAGCCACTGATCTTCTTCTTATCAAGCTTGCGGATCATGTCTCCCTTCTCGTTGATCTCTAACTCAAAGGCGCCTGGGATTTTACGGCTGTGCAGAGCGGAGTTCCAATTGTTGACGAGCTCAGTAGTGAACGCCGTTCTGGAAAAGTCCTCCTTCAGGCAAATGAAGGAAAAATTGAAGTTCCCCAAATCGTGAACCACTGTGCCTCCGCCGGAAAACCTTCGCAAAATGGGGGTCGAGTACGTCGAGGCAAGACGCAGGTTGATTTCTCTGAAAATGTTCTGATTCTTGCCCAGAACAACGCAGTTCGAGTTCTTGTAGAGGAACAACCGCCGTGCAAACCGGTTGAGCGGGTCCTTCGGGTCCGGGTAGTTGTCATAGATGTACTTCTCAATGCTGAGGTTCAGTCTTGGGTCGGTCAGCTTGGACACGACCACCAGCGGGAGCTCTGTGCCAACGAGACTCTTCAACGGCAGATGAGTCGGGAGCCTGCTGGGGGAGCCGACCTCGTCTTTGCGCAAGAAGCGGGTAATCTTGCTTTCCTCTGCCATCGCTGCCGCCGCCACGGCGGCGGCAGAACCGCCGTCGGGCTGCTGCTGGAGCATTTCCGAGAGGTAGTCATCCGACGACAGGACTTCCGCGTCGTCCACGCCGCTGGCCGGCCCTACGCCGGGCGCCTCGCTGGCAGCCATCATCCTGACGAACGCCTCCGTCGACATGGTCTGGGGGCCTGCCGAGTCTGCCGGGCCAACCAAGCCTGCCGGGCCTGCGTCGCCGGCGGACACGGGCAGGGCAGAGAGGTCGTACGGGTCGTATGGCTCGGCGGCGTCTGCGGCGGGCGCTTTTGCCGCCCGCTCCACCTCTTTCAGCGTGTCGGCGTCGAAGAAGGCCGCAAGGTTCGGGTCGTTCTGCAGGGTGTCCGCGATGTCCTTCGGGTCGAGCTCGTATCCCGTCCTGCCCGTCTGCGAGGCCGCCTGCCGGGAGACACTGAAGCTTGCGGGTAGCGACGAGTAGAGGCGCCCTGAGGCCGCCGGCGCTAGCGCCGGCGGCCGGAGAAGTCTGGAGCAGCGGGAGAGCAGCATGTGCACTTGTAGGTGGAGCCGAGGTGGTGCAGAAGAAGCAGCCGTCGTCTGTCTGCTTCATGAACCAGACATGTTGGCACCCGGCTCGCCAGCTGAGCATTTTCCCTCTTGCCCTCTTTCCCTCTTTCTCTTTTTCCCTTTTTCTCGCGGGGCACGCTCGCCCCGTGTTGCCCCGCTGAGCCTGCCTGTCCGCTGAGCCCTCCCGTCGACGCGCCGCCGCATCCGCGCCGCGGCGCAACGGCGTAACGGCGCATCGCACCCGCGCGCGCGCATCGCGAAATTTTGGCCGATCGACCTAGCGGCTCCTGGCCGGTACTTCGGCGACCGCGTCAAAGGCCAGCAAACGAAACAAGGTTTGCACCAGGTGCAGCAACTCTAACCCAGATCGGGCAGGACGGTTTGTGGCGATCCAGGCTCACGGTGGCATTGTTATCTGTGTCGTTTTTTTCGTTGCAGCTGGCATAGGTTTTGGTGGAAGTTGAGGAGGATCTGGTGCTTCTGAGGTACAGTGTTTCAGCTGTGCAACCGCCACACCGCCTCTGCCGCCAACCGCTATTCGCTGACCCGCAAAGACGATGTGGAATCCGCTGAAGACACGGAAACCGGAATTCCGGCTGGACTCGAAGGACGAGAAGAGAGGACGATTCAGGATGGTGCAGGGGGTGAAGCCGACGACGGCGGTGACGATTGTGATTGCGATTGTGACGCTGTACCTGTACGTGCTGCCTGGACTGGATCTGCGTGGGGCCGAGGAGGGACGCTACACGCCTGACTTTGGCGAGCTGCACGAGCACAACGTGGAGTACTACGACCTGAAGGACTACTCGCCGCATGCCGACGGCTGGAACCACAACGAACGGGTCTTGTTTCTGGTGCCGTTGCGGGATGCGTCGGCGCACCTGCCGATGTTCATGGAGAACCTCAAGAACCTCACGTACCCACACGCCCTGATCGACTTGGCGTTTCTCGTGTCGGACACGAAGGACTCGACGATCAAGGACTTGAAGCGGTCGCTGCTGCCGATCCAGACGGGCGAGGACGAGGAGATGCGCTTTGGACGCATCAACATCTACGAAAAGGACTTTGGCCAGATCATCGGCCAGAGTTTCAGTGACAGACACGGGTTCGCAGCACAGGGCCCCAGACGGAAGTTGATGGCCATTGCGAGGAACTGGCTACTCACCACGGCGCTGCGGCCAGACCACGCGTGGGTGTACTGGCGTGACGCCGACGTGGAGACCGTCCCGGCGACGATCATCGAAGACCTCATGCACCACGACACGGACGTGATTGTTCCAAACATCTGGAGACCGCTTCCGGACTGGTTGGGAAACGAACAGCCTTACGACTTGAACTCGTGGCAGGAAAGTGAGGCCGGCCTCGACCTGGCCGACCATTTGGACGAGGACGCCGTGATCGTCGAAGGGTACAGCGAGTACAAAACGTGGCGTGTGCACTTGGGGTACGTGCGTGATCCGTTTGGAGACCCAGAGGTGGAAATGGACCTCGACGGTATCGGAGGCGTCTCGATCTTGTCAAAAGGGACGGTGTTCAAGAGCGGCGCCATGTTCCCGGCTTTCTCGTATTTGAAACACGCGGAGACTGAGGGCTTTGGGAAGCTTTGCAAAACAATGGGCTACAGGGTCGTTGGACTCCCTCACTACGTCATTTGGCACATCTACGAACCAAGTGTCCAAGACTTACAACACATGAAGTGGATGGCAGAGGAAAAGAAAAACAGAGTCCAAAAGGCGAAGAATAAGAGGATGTACAACAAGAAATGGACGGAGGCCTTTGTCGAAGTCGACAAGGACTGGGAAGTGTTGAAATTCAACGTGTTTAAAAACACAGACTTGAGAAGATACATCCATTTGGACTGGAACGACGTCGACGGATATTTGAAATTGTACGAGGAGCCGGAGAACAACATCTTCCCCGAGCTTGACACCATCGAGGCTGATTATTCGTTGACCGAGATGAGCCTGCGTTATAAAAACGGCTACATTCCTCCAAACGAGATCTTCGACTCTTTCCCAATAAATAATGCTGCTAGTCGTGACAAGTTCAAGTTTGTGAGGTTCGACGAGCCAGAACGGGAGAGCGAGAACTTGGACGACGTCTTCAACGTCGACAACAAGGTAAATTCCAACAAGAACGAGGCGCAGCGGAAGGAGCAGGAGAGGGAGGAGAAAGAACAGATTCAGCAGGAAACCCTTAATGAACTAGAGGAATCCAGAAGAGAGGTCGAGGCCGAGGTGCAGAAGGTCGAAGATGAGCATAACGAAGAGATGCAGAAAGTCAAGGGGAAGGAAATGACTCCGGAACAATTAGAAGAAGAACTGGAAAGGCTGCAGGACATGTACGAACAGAAGAAGAAAGAAAGAGAAGAGAGGAAGCTGATTGAAGAAGCAGAAAGATTGAGCAACCTCGCCGAAAAGAAAAAGAGAAAGAAGCTCCTGAAGCAGAAGGCAATGCAGGCTGAAAAGGAATTGCGTCGGAAGATGGCAATCGATAGAGAAATGGAAAGAAGACAACAGATGTTCGAACTAGAAGAAGCCTGACCTAATTATTGCAGAAACACTCACTGCCAATAGTTATAATCCTAATGTACCTTCTGAAAGTTTATAAAAATAGAGACAGTACTAGTTTATATTAACTGATATATTGATAGTAAAAGAAGGAGAAAAGTTATTTCCGCCAGAACAAAAAAAATTAGATTACCTTTTCTTTAAACTCACAGCTTCTCAAGGTCTGTTTCTTCCATCATATTGATATACAGAAACCTTCTCCACAATTCACCAGCTTCTATAAGAACATTCTCGATGTCTCTGTTGGATTTCCGATGGTGGGTAATCATCATTTGCAGATCATCGTTGACATGAGTGTTGTTGTTATCAATCAAATCACTATGCAGTCCGTTCGATAACCCATTGCCAGATGAGTCATCGGGTTCATCTCTCGTACTGACAAATGAACTCATTTCTCCAAAATCGGTCCGCAAACTCGATAATCTTCCGAATAAAGTCTTGATCTCACTTTGATCTAGCTCTGTGATAGTAAACTCTTTACTTTTTAGAAATGCCAAACTGATAAAAATTATCTGCACGTGAGGGTTGATCTTCGAAAAAGGTAACTGTGAAATCGGCTCGATTTCATCCAGCGGCGCAAGGGAGAGTTCATTGTCAGACAAGTTGGAAAGTGGGGTATGAGGAGAATTTAAAGGCAATGAAGCAAGAGTGGGAGTCTTGTCCACAGAAAGAGGGGGACTTCGATTCTTAGACATGAGAGTCAGAACCGATAAAGAGCGATCATGCTTGTCACGAGGTAGTATTGTTGAAAAATCTTCCCCATCTTCCCGTTCTACTTCCCCTTCCCGTTCGCCATCTTCTTCGTCATCAATTATACCGCTGCTTGTATTTGGTTCTGATGAAGAGTTCAATTTCATTTTTTTCAGGTTTTTCAGATTTTTCAGCAAAGACTCATCGGTATTGTCGTCGTTCATATTCTCCATTGGATTCCAGAATAAATCGGGTCCTAAAAGTCGGATTTGCTCAGGAGTCAATTCAGAGAGTGCCTTCATATTAGACTCAAAATTCTTGCAATCTGTTCTGTAGCCTAGTAGCAAATCCCAAGTTCTTCCACGATCGTAACGCGACCAAACTTTGCTACCAGCATATTTCAACCACCATAAAATCCAATCTCCATTTAGACAATCTTCTTCTGCCAAATAACTGTGGAGTTCAGGTAGTAGCTTTCGCATACAAAACAAGAAGAAAGATATCCGATCAGTAATGGAACCTCCAGTGTAAGGAAGTAAAGATAGCTGTTTCAGCTCCTTGGACACTGATATTGGGGAAGAAATTTCCGCGTTTTCAATGGTGGCAGGATCAGGGGTGTGTAAAATAACGAGAACCATTCTCTCATAAATTTCAGCAAAGGACATAGGCTTGAAGCCGTTGGGTGGAGTATTTTGGGGACTTGCCAACGGAGTGGCAGATTCCGGCGAGAGCGAAAACGGGGAGTCAAACAACGAAGAGGCATCTGAAGCAGCGTTGGAGTTGTTCAATGACTCAAAGTAGCTATCGTCAATATTGCGTAATTTTGTACCATTTTTAGCAACATCGTCTCTACCACAAAGTACAAACTGGGAATTAGGTAGCGGTGGGACCCATTCTGCCAAGCCCAATGCAATCCATGCAAGTGCTGAATTGTAGTGGACAATTGTACCCCATTTCTTCAAAAATTTGATAACAGCATGTTCTATAATGTCAAAGATTTTTTCTTGAATTTCAAACATATCTTTTACTTCTAAGGTTAGTACTTTTGGTTTATAGCGTTCCGCAGATCTCAAATATTTCCTCAAGTCGAATTTGATTTCCTTATAGGGTATTTTATAGGTGTAGTCGTCATTGCTGCTTGTTTTGCATGATGATTTTCTAGAGGATGTAGATGACCGCTCACTAGATCCGCCTGAGCTATCAGGGCTGGAGCCATTAGCCTTTCTTTCTTGCTCCTTTTCTTCCTCGTCATCTGTTCTATTTTTCTGTGCTGCCTGCAGTCCATCTTTTACATTTTGTTCTTCGCTTTGCTGTTGCTGATGTTGTTCTTCTTCTTTGTTCTCTATCTCCTCTTGTTCTTCTTCATCGTCGTCATCGTCGTCATCGTCATTATCATCGATTTCTAGATACGGGTTTTGAACAAATGGATGGTATTTTAATAAAATCGGCCATATCTTGCACCTGAGGTGAAGAGGTAAGCCTGCTTGTCTTGCAAGCATTGCTAGACCGGTTATATTTCGTGTTTTGAGGAAAGTTTGGCATAGTTCCATAAGTTCGGGTATGTCCGAGATGGGCAATTTACCCGTATATCGTCTACCTTGGTATTTAGAGGAAGCCGTTGAAACTGATTTGGACGAGGCAGACATTGAGGGAGAAATGGATCGGTTACTCCGATGGGCGAAATCTGATCTCACGTTGGGGAGATAGCTGTCCTGATGACTGCTGTGAGTATGCTGGCTTTGCTGAGTGGTGATAGTAGAGTTCGAATCTCGAGAAACCGGTCTTTCTGATTTTGGCAAACTAAACTCATTTTCAGCTTGAAAGTTTGGGTCCTTCAGTGACATTTTCGTTTTATTGGATAAATATGTTTGAGGTTATCGTACGAATAGAGTGATCTGATTTGGAATCTTTTTAGTAAAGTTGACAGGTACTTAATTTTTCTTTTTTCGTAGTTGTGTTAGAGTCTCTGGTCAATTGGCCAACGTAGTACAAAGCCTCGGGCTGCACTTTCTGCTTCTTGCCTGTTAAAGCTGAAATTTGTGCTTGAAAAATGCAAAAATGATAATGTGACTGGCCACTAACTCAAAAAACGCAGGAAATGCAAGAATATAATGGGTGGGGTGACAAAGGTAGCACTGGATCCCTTTACGTCGATTTTCCAAGTCTGGCTGCTAAAGAAACGTATGGCTATCGCTGGCTGTGTTATATTCTAGTTCGAGTTGGTGCCCCGAAGCAAAACAGGCGCAGATATCAGAGGTAGAGGCCGAGTGGGGCGAGCTGGGGGACAGTAGGCGGGTTGGACGTGGGAACGTGTAAAATACGACGACAGCAGAATGAAGTGTGAAGGAGAGTGATACAGTTACTGATTCAGAAGAGCATAGAAGGCGGTACAAGTGCCACTTCCTGCAGAGGTGCACTAGAGTCGCCAGGCGATTGTGCTCCCCCCACGGCTCCAATCTGACACACAATGACAGAGATCGCAGAGCCCAAGCACCTCGGAAGACCGCTAGCTGCCACTCTTCCGCTCTCGCTCACCTTAAAAAAAGGGTGAAAAATTTTGCGTTGGTAGCGGAGAAAAGGGGGGAGGGGGGGAGGACTAATGACAGACTGTTTCTACGATTGTGTGACTGTTGAAACGGACACTGCCGAGGACGCCAGTTTACGTCGACAGCAGCATGGCGGGGTGGCTCGCGTTGGACTCTTTCTTGCTGCATCAGAAGCCCATCTTTGCACCGTAGTGTATGTAGTTCATGGTAGGCTCAACACCGTTTTAGGGTTTACTTCCGTACACCAGTGAGCTATGTGTATCACGTGATTGTGCTTTTGTCACGTGCACCATCTACGTCTCAACATGAATTGCATTTCTCAGATCCACCGATTTGCCCTTACCCTTAAATGATACATCTTTTCCGGAAGTCATTGAATCCGACCTCGTAGATAGTTGTTTCACTTAGCTTGAAAGCCAGCACTGCAAAAATGTCATCTGGAAGTCAGGAGCTGCAGCTAATCCAGAAAGTTGAACTTCGGTTTGCATTGGCGGACACGAACGAAAAGTTCCAGTCGTCTCTGCAACTCTACTTGGCACCATTATTGTTAAAATTCGCCTCATCAGACAAGGAGGTGAGGGTGCAGCTAGGGAAAACCGTGAAGTTTTTACTATCCAAGTTCAATGCGACCCCAGAATTGAAGCTGCCCTACAAAGCTTTGTTAGACCAGGTTAAATCTCCAAATTTGAAGCCAGGTCAAGATCCGGCTGTCGTGCAATCATACACTCTCTTGTTTCTATCAAAATCAATTCCTAGACTATCCAACGAGGAGAAGAAAGAGCTTTTTCCACTTTTGATCGAGGACATGTCAACTTTCAAGGACTCTGTATCCGCTAGACTGTTTAACATATCGTGTAAAATCTTAGATTCTCTGAGCGACTCCGACCTTTCCATATTAGCCAATTGCGTTGCCAACTGGAAAAGTGAACATGATAAATCGTTTTTGGCTGAAAAATACTATAAGTTCATGCTATTGCACTCGGTTTCTGTAGACGCAAGCGGAATGATTCCCAACAATATCACAGAGCCTGGGCTATCTCGTGAGGAATGTTCTTTCTTCTTCTATTATGCCGGAGTTGTGTTCAATTCGTCAACCTTGGTCGAATATAAAATGAAAATCCTCAAGTTCATCGAGCCGATGCCAGATTTTGACAAAGTGACCACTTTCTTGTGTGCAAGTGCAGATGGTGATTCAAAGGTATCCTCGTTTGCTTCTACCTCTCTGAAGAGAATCCCAATCGATTATGAGAACAAAATTTTTATAGATCAATTGGTAAGCCTATTTGTTGGTGATGAACATGATCAAAGACAGCCGGCTAGGTTACCCTTGCAAGAAAAAATATTGAATATTCTATGCAAAAGTAAGATAGCAACTACGTTGGATTCAATAGAAAAGATATCCACAATAGGTTTGAATTCTTCCAACGTAAAGCTAAAGCAATCTACCGTAGCTTTTGTTAGATGGTTCACTACAAACAATTCTTTGAACGCCACCAATGATGATACCGTCACCAAAATAGCACACCAGTTGAAACTTAACTTGTCAGATATTACAGCTGATAAGTCTAGTCCAAACTATCTTGATAACCGTCGTTACCAGTACGAAACTTTAGGACTTCTTTTAAAAAAATCTTCAACACTTATAGACATTCCTTACATTCAATTCTTGATTGATATGTATAGTGCCGATGATAAAGAGTTGCAACCAGTAATTCAAGACGCATTAATTGGCCTTACGACTAACTTGTCATTTCTGTCCACAAGCCAAAGGCTGAAGTTGAAGGATCTTCTGATGGAGATTTTTGAGAAGTCAAATGAGACGTCAAATAGCAGCTTTTCTCAAATAAGGTTCATCGGTGTAAAGTATATTAATTATTTGTTTCCTTTCAGTGACGCACAGACCAGGATTATCAATATCATGACCCAGTCAAAGTTTGATAGAATCGAGACCGTAGAAGAATCTAGAAAAGGGTTGAATCCTTATTTATTCAAACTGAACAATCCACTAATTGATACCATCGATTTCCCTCAATTTGATACAGTCATGAAATACATTTTGAGGTATAAGGATTCAATCAATATAGAAGTGGCTCTCACTTTGGCATTCCGTTGCTTGACTATGAATCTTATTTCAAATCAAGACACAATTGTTGCTATTGATCAATACTGGGAAACAAGAATTGATAAGGCTCTTGAGCTAGATCCAACTATCAAGGATTCCCTTTTGAAAGCGTTGAAAGAATTTCACGACATAGACGGTGACACCACTGAGCATTTTGCAGATAGCTCGTTGAATTTTTTTATTGATCTTGCCTTCAACTATATCAAGGCCTCTAATAGTACCTCTATCTTGATATTACTAACAAAGATATTAACACTGTGTTGTACTGACGTTACAAATGCGTTGACTGACCACATTCCTTTATTATTAGATAGTCAGTTTGATGCACTCACTTATGAGTCTTTTCATTACGTTTCCGAGCTGACAGGAATCATTTGTACAACACCTCAGGTAGAAAACGATGCAGTACTCAAGATTTTGGACCAGCTTCTTAAAAGAGGCTCAACAAGTTCCGCTGGATTTATAGTTTCCAGGTTGGTTTTGAGAGGTAGAGCTAGCATCATTGACCAGAAAATTTTCAATTCTATTTTGGAATTGATTGAAGGAAACTTGAACAGTTCATCGACCAGACAACTTAGAATGGCCTTAGATTGCATTTCTCAATTGTCAATGTTTGGATGCTTGGGACCTCAGTTACAGCTCTCTTCATCTGTTGAGTCTTTCAAAACTAAGTTTGTTGAGAAACTAAAACCTCTTGTTCTCAAATGTAATGAGTTTGCCATCTATGCATGGTGCTACCTTTCATTATCATATTGCAACGATGAGAACACCGTTGATGGTGAACTTAACTCCTTTGAACAAATTATTTATGAAACGCACGTTACAAAGCAAACAGACAATCACTTCACAACTGGTGAAGGTTTTGCAATTTTGTGCGACGGCTGGTCATCCTCCTTCATGAAAGATAAGAATGATATACCTGATTGTAAGGTATCTATTGATTTGAATCCGAAAAGATGTAAAATCATTTTAGACAACATCTTAACTTTTTGTAAAACCACAAAGCCGAGCTTGAGAAAGGCCTCTTGCATTTGGTTACTATCGATTGTCCAGTACTGTACAGATGAAATCATTATGGAAAAAATCAACGATATTCAATTTGCATTCATGCGATTTTTATCAGATAGAGAGGAGATTATACAGGAGTCTGCTTCTAGAGGTTTGAGTATAACATATGAAAAAGGTGGTTATGATGTTCAGGAAACATTAGTTCATAACTTGCTCAAATCCTTTACAGATTCAAACAAAACCTCAAAAGAATTGATTAGTGGTTATGTGGACGAAAATACCGAGCTTTTTGATTCTGGAGTATTGAATACTGGAGATGGTGAGTCGGTATCAACATACAAAGATGTTTTGAATCTAGCGTCTGAAGTTGGAAATCCGAGCCTTGTTTACAAGTTTATGTCGCTTGCTAAAAACTCTGCATTATGGTCGTCGAGGAAAGGTTTAGCATTTGGCCTAGGTGCAATTTTAGACAAAGAAAAATTAGACACTTTATTGAAAGAAAATCCCAAGTTGTCTAATAAGCTAATTCCAAAATTATTCAGATATAAATTCGATCCTAGTGCTTCAATTTCAAGAACAATGAATAATATCTGGGACAACTTAATATTGAATAATAAGGCGACCCTCAATGAGAATTTTGATTCAATATTGAAGGAACTTCTAGCCGGTATGGGTGATCGTGAATGGCGTGTGCGTGAAGCAAGTACTGGAGCCTTGCAAGATTTGCTAAGACATTGTGAGTTTTCTAAATTTGAAAATGATTTGGAGAGGATATGGCTAATGGCTTTTCGTGCAATGGATGATATCAAAGGCTCAGTCAGAAAAGAAGGTACCGAGCTTACCAGATTTTTAGCCAATACGATGGTTTTGAAGTTAAATAGCTCATCTAACTCTAGTGCTCAGGAATCCATTTTGAAGCAGTTAGTCCCATTCTTATTAGGTAACAACGGGCTATTAAGTGATTCTGAAGATGTCAAAAAATTTGCATTTGATACAATAATGAAATTGATATCTACCTCGTCGAAGAGCTTGGAACCATTTGTTGCAAACATGGTCCAGCAAATGATATTGTTAATGTCGTCCGTAGAGCCTCAGGTCATCAATTATTTGACTTTAAATGCAGATAAGTATAACATGGAAGTTGAGGATATAGATTCTCAAAGGATTGGATTAGTTGGAAGTTCACCTATGATGGAAGCAATTGAAAAACTGATGGATTTACTTGATGAAAAAACTGTAGCATCATTCATAGAGGAGCTTGGTGTTGCAGTGAAAACCTCGATTGGGTTGCCATCCAAAGTTGCTGGATCTAAAGCAATTGTCAACTTGATTTTGAGACATTTTTTTATTGTATCCAATTACGGTGATCAGCTTCTAAAGATTGCATCTGGTCAGCTAAAGGATAGAAACGAAACAGTTGCAAAATCTTATGCAATTGCATGTGGTTATTGTGTTCGGATTTCATCTGTGAAAAAAATTGAATCCTTTGGTAAAAAGCTAACCAAGTATTACTTTGAGAAGAAGTCCGATACCAATAGCGACGATCGTTTACCAAAGATATCTTCAGTTGCATGTGAAGCAGTCTCTAACTTTGCAAACGATACACTACATTCCAATGCCTCAATATTCTTACCATTGTCGTTCATAGCTAAACATGACTTAAATTCTGAGATAGCCAAAAATTTTAACAAAGTTTGGTCTGACTCTACTAGCTCCAGTGTCAGTGCGATCAAGCTTTACTTCCCTGAAATAATTTCTTTGATTAAGCGTCACATCAGTGGTCAAACATTTTCTCTTAGAAAAACTATTGCTATGTCCATTATCGAAATTATCGAAACACTGGACGTCCGTATCAACGATTTGGATCCATCCTATTTAGAAGAATTGTATGAATTGCTTTTAGAGTCTTTGGCCGGCCGTGTTTATGAAGGGAAAGAAAAGCTACTTGACTCTTTGGTGAATCTTTCCTGCAAGTCTGACAAGTTTTTGACTAACAATGATGAGCTTTATTTGAAAATTGAAAGCAGGGTACTTAATGAGGCGAACAGGAAAAGTCAATGGTATAGAAAGCATAGCATTCTGGCGCTAGGTAACTTGTTGCACATATATTACGAAGATATATCGCTTTATGACAAATATCTTGAATTGGTTGATGGACTTCTTTCTCCAAAAGAGTTAGATTCAGACGATGAAGATGACAAAATGGATGTCGACTCATCACCTGATCATAAGGTAACAGCGGCTCGTTGTGATATGATTCAAAAGGTGTTACTCAACGTCCTCTATTCCATATCTGGTGGGAAAATGGTTAATACGAATGCACTAAAGTATGTTCTACAGAAAGTAGACAGATTTTTATCTGAAACCAATATTGATCTGTTGCCGAATTCAGACAGCAAGTTTAGGTTCAAGCAAGGTATTATAACTCTTTTAACCTCTTTAGTGGGTCTAAACGATGGACATGTTTTGCCAAATAGTGAAAAGAATTATTATGAGGAACGTTTGTTTGAACTCTGGCTGAAATCCAAAGACGTCATTGGGTCGTCAGACAATTTACAGAGTATCCTTGTCGGATATGCTAGACTCACTGGCTTGTTGTTGGAAAAGTTGGACCTGGATTCAGATAGAAAAACGAGCTGTGCTATGGCTTTGAAAATGTTGAAATCCGAGAATGTGAACTCAGTTGTTACCATAGAATGTGACAAGGTTTTACAAAAGCGTAAGTAGAGCTTTTTCAGACGATGGGAATTTTCCAAGAAAATTGATTCAGTTAAAGCTTTACAGTTTTAATCTAAATAAAAAAAATATATGATATTGGTGTAATATTAACAGCGTTTCTTGAAGTCGTTCAATCACCACCTCTCAATCTCAAGACCAAGTGCAACGTCGATTCCTTTTGGATGTTGTAGTCCGATAGGGTTCTACCATCCTCTAGTTGCTTACCAGCAAAAATAAGTCTTTGCTGGTCTGGTGGAATCCCTTCCTTGTCTTGGATCTTCTGCTTGACATTGTCAATAGTGTCTGAAGACTCAACCTCTAGGGTGATAGTCTTACCAGTCAATGTTTTAACGAAAATTTGCATCTTCTGTGAATGATAGTGTTCTTCTCTTGTTTGTAATGTCTCTTTTGTTAAAGATCCTTATTTCTAAAGGAATATGATGTTAGAAACACGTGAGCAAGAGCCACCAGTGGTGAATAAGGAGAAAAGAAAGAAGGGCAAGTAAGCACAGGAGGCAGCACACTCCGCTTCCAGGGTGGCAAACGGAGGGCGGAGGGCAAACTCCCTCTACACGCAAACAGAATGCGTAGCCTGCAGCTGCGATAACAAGATTACCGCATGTGGCAGGCGCGACGGGCCGGTCCACAAAGTCTCGGTCTTTGCGATGAGCCCTCTCCTGTTTATCCGAGCCTGCTGAGCATGGTTCATACTCTCATGATTGGAAGTTACCTGTTTATATATTAAAGAACGGGGTTGTGAAAGGAAAAGAAAGATGTATAACTTGTGCTATGAATGGTTGTGAGAGTTTAAAGAGTGCCTCTTAGAGTGGTGATGCTGCTCATCACACTGTCAGAAACGCTGCCAGCGTCTTTCTCCACATCCGTGTTCTTTTTGGCGCCAGATCTGGAAATGCCTTGCATGAAGCCAGTGCCACCTATCAGAGTCCACATGTAGTACGCTGTCTGGACTATGGTGAGAGCAAATACGGCCCATAGAACTCCCTGTGACCTCTTGCCCTTAGAAAACGATAAGATGTTCATTGTCATGACCCCACCAACACTGACGAGATCGTGACAGACTACCATGGTCCAAGTGATGGAGATACACAGTATTATCCAAAAGGATCCTAGTATAAGCATTGAGAGATAAGATGCGTACTTTTGAAGTGGCAAGAATCCTATCATGTTGTAAAGCTGAACTACCAATAGCGCTAGCAGAAAAATTATCTCCACTATGAAGATCTGGTGCCTTGCTGTTTTCTGTTGTATCGCATATGCAATATCAAACACCTCCAAGCTAGTACTAGAAGTTGAATTCTTGTTTCCGCCTGTTACGGAGAAGGAAGGGACTTGGTCTTGATAAGTATATTCCATGTCCGAGGTATATCCACACTGCATCCCGTCCCCAAAATTGATGCAAACACCCATGTATCCTACTCTCACAACAAAGTCTTGCAGGCTGTTCCCTTTATGTTGCTTACTGTATTGTGTGGATAGCGCTGACGAAATGTCGCTTGTTTGATTGAACGTGAACTCAACTGAGTATAGGTTTGAATATGCGTCAGAATCGTGCGTAGCACCGTTTATAACGAAAAAGATCATAACAACGTTGATAATAGTCACAACAGCACACAAAAATTTTGGTGTCTTCTTGACAAAGAATAGTCCTAACGAAAAGATCATGTTTTTTCTTTCAAGTGTCAAAGTTACAAAACTAGTATCGTCTTGTTCTAAATTGTCTAAAGTAACTACAATGTGACCGACATTGTTACAACTTGAGGAAAATATAAGCCTATAGGGATCATTCTTGGAGAAGCAAAACCGCTTCTTATATAGATGCTTGACAGAATCTATCAGCCCCAGTTCTAAAGCTTAGCCAACATATGGCGTCTGACAATGATGAAACAGAGACCCTACAAGATGTACGCTCCGGTTCATGTCTAAAATTGACAATATTGTGGGGCCGCGTTTCCATGAACGGTTCCGGTTTTTCCTCCTCGTCACTTATGTTTCTAATGCTCTCCATTGTTCGTGGAACGATGCTGCCAAACGTTGCGCCTTGGGGTCGGACAGTCGGTATTCTTTTCTATCTTGCCTAGTTCAGACTGCTTGCTCTCTGTATCCGAGGATCTACGCGATATTCGATAATAGGAGAGAATTCAGACATTGTATACAACCATATGAGCAGCAAAAGCCTTTTAACCTCTGTTCAAATCAGAAGGACATCATCTCTTCATAATGCTAACATAAAACATGTTCACCTCTCTCCTCAAATTTTGGATTACGATTTATTCACTCCAAGCATTGCGCCAAAGGCCAATTCCAAGATGCCACCAATGATTTTTCTGCATGGCTTATTGGGAAACAGGAAAAACAACCGATCCGCTGCTAAATTACTAGCCGAACAATTACAAACACAATTTATTGTGCCAGATCTTAGAAACCACGGAACTTCTTTTCATGCTAGGCCTATGAATAATAAAGCAATGAGTGATGACATTACAAAACTCATTGATAGCTTGCCATCAACGATTCCAAGACATCGTGGATTCGTTATACTTGGCCACTCAATGGGTGCTAAGGTTGCTATGATACATGCATTGAGGTTCCCCAAATTGATAAAAGGCGTTATTTCAATTGATAATGTTCCCTATGATAATTCAGAAGATTCTTATGTTGAATTTGAGAAGTTCCATATAGGATTACGTACTTTGGATTGGTGTGTAAAAGCACATCCAGACTGGTCGCTTCCCGACATGAAAGCCTATTTGATGAAATGGGTTGAGCCTAGCGAAAAGATTATCAATTTTTGGCTGACTAACGTGGTCAACAAAAATGGACTTCTCGTTCCAAAAGTCCCATTCAATATTTTGAATGAATCCATCGAAGACATCATGCAATGGAAGATGCAAGAGTACGGAGACTTAGAAAGTTTGGCGGGGCAGAAAGTTGTGGCTCCATTGTTGCTTATTAGTGCCAATTATTCCAAATTTGTGGGCAAGGATGTTCATACCCATGCGATTTCGAAGTACTTTCAAGACTTTATAGTGAAGCCGGTCGATTCTGGTCATTGGGTTGTTACCGAACGCAAACAAGAATTTACTAAGATTGTCATAGAATGGGCACTCTCTAAATTTGGCTCTTCATAGACACACATTATATAAACTAGATAGATTATTCATTATTTATTACACCCAATATAGATTTGCTGACGTAGGAAAAGGTAGTTTAGTGATCGGTGAATGATTTTTGGGCATCTGTTGATGCTTTTCGCAATAAAATGAGTCTGCCTTTTATTAGAAACCTAATTTAACAAAATTCCAACCTTGGGCTGATTAATTTTCTTTAAAGGGTCTGCTAGTCAATTGTTTGTTGATCGTCTTGTTTAATGTAGATGGAGAATATTACAAATTGTCTATGTGATTATGTCATCTTGTGCTTCCTAATCAGTTTTCGCATGTATTTCTTTCTCTGGGAACTAGGCCACTACAACGAGCCATCAACTCTTTTTGCATGCTTTGTAATATTTTAGATCGCTGGTCTAAAACAAGAAATGGTTTCCAAACTTATATTCAAAGGTGAGAAGAAAAAGAGTAGGAAAAATAGAGTGCAAAAACATGAATGGCAACAGACAGCTGATTCTAATAAAACAAGTAACTCAACATTTGCGATAAATGGCAAAGAAGTAAAAATAGATGATATCGATCTTGCGGCTATAACAAACGGTTGGACAACCGCATACCTGATTGATATACAAGCTGCAAACTCGTCCATTCTAGATACACAATCTGGAAATTTGCCAATAATAATTACCTACGCCGATGATTCAAGAAACATGTGTTTGATGAGGGGTAAGCTTTCATCGTCTGAAGATGCCAGTATCAAAAAGAAATTAATATTCAGTGATGATGTTGAACTTTCAACTCTTGAAAATACCATAATTTATACCCCAGAAGGTATAACAGTAGAGGCAGACATTAACCGGATTGAACCTACAAATGTGAATGAAGTTTTTCTTCTATCTGATGTTTCAACGCTTTTCAAAAACACAGATAAAATTATCGGCAATGAACATAGCAATGGTGTGTACAATTCAAGGACGCCGGTATATTCTTTGAAAACTGCTGATGGAGAGTATCTCACCAGTGATCCTTCAAGTAATGAGTTGAAGCTCTCAATGACGCTAACGGAAAACGGTCTTTTTTCTCTGAACTTTGAAATGCTCGGGATGACCCCATATTGTCGAATTTTGGTAGGCAAAACAAACAGCAATACAATGATGATCACCAAAAGTGGGGATTTAAAGGTTATACCGGACCCAGAAGACGTACTAGGATCATTATCGAGATTTATTATCCGAATTCGTAAACAGGATGCTCATAGGACAAAAGAAATTCTCAAAGCTGCAAAAGAAAATAGTCGGAGCGGGGATTCTGATAGGGATGAAACTGCGGAGAAAGTTAAGAAGACAGCTCTAGATCTATCAAAGCTAGGGTTTAAAATCAACAATAAGACATTAAATGAGATTTCAAAAGCCTATGCAGAAGGATGGATCAATGAATGGGTTGTTGATTTCAAAGAGAAAAACATTCACGATCGAAGGGCTTGAAATCATAGAAAGAACTGCTTCTTTTAAGCCTATTTGCTCGATTGTATTTGAGACAGCGATATATAATGGCTTATATCTTGTTCCGCAAGTGGGTTTGAGTGTCATTACGTAAGCCACATTGTACTTTATTTCTGAAGTAATTTTTTATAGAGGAGGATTCAACAACAGTAATTCAGACTTCGATCATCAAGCAATTTTCAGATCTTGTTCCTCAAAAAAACATTGGCATTTAGGGCGCAAAAGTTTTCCAAAAATTTGAGTTTCTGGCAATTTGTCCGAGTGGTTAAGGAGAAAGACTTGAAATCTTTTGGGCTCTGCCCGCGCAGGTTCGAGTCCTGCAGTTGTCGAGTTTGTTTTTATTTTTGCTTCTTTTATGTGCCCCCTATTCTTCCTGTTTCTAACAATGAGCAATACTTGTAACTGAGGCTATCATCTACAAAATGGCAGACGCACAGATGCTTCGACAACCATGTAAAATGAGCCCGCTGGCATTATACGACGGATGCCCCGAACTCGGACCAGCCCCACGTGATCGTCGTTTACCCCACCGTGAAGTGGAAAAATTCACGTCGTTTACGTCGTATAGCGCATGCAGGCCATCGTATAGCTCGCTCCGAGCGCTCGTTCAGATCGTACAGTGGGGCACGAAAAAGGAAAACGGAGACAGATAGCGTCTCGTGGACGTCGTGGTCGCTAGAGCTGTTGTTGTTAGCTTTGTTTAAATGTAACGTGTGCTGTCGAAACAGAGTCTTTCTTTCCTCCTTTTCTACTGCAGATTTTAGTTGTTTAGTTGTTCTCCCTTTCATTCTTTTCTTCTTATTCTTTCACCACGTTACGTTTGATTGTTCTTGAGTTTTTTTCCAATCCAAACGAATAGTTAACAAAAAACACAATGAGCACACCATCAAACAACATAAAACTTGCACCAAAAAACTTCAAGCAGGACAAGGAGTTTGCCAACGCCTTGCATGGTAAGTCGGGCGGTGTCACCGGTATTGGTGCGTTGACTCAGAAAGACCAAAAGGCATCTGAGATTGCTATCGAGGGATATTTCAAGCACTGGGATGGTAAGACCAGTGAAGAAGCTGAAAGCTCACGTCTAGCAGACTATTCTGCATTGACCAAACACTACTACAATTTGGTTACTGACTTCTACGAATACGGATGGGGTGCTTCATTCCACTTCTGTCGTTTCTACAAGGGCGAGCCCTTTGGACAAGCGATTGCAAGACATGAACACTACCTTGCTGCAAAGATGGGCATCACTGAAGACATGAAGGTCTTGGATGTCGGATGCGGTGTTGGTGGACCAGCTAAGGAGATCGCAACTTTCACCGGTTGTAAGGTTGTTGGTTTGAACAACAACGATTACCAGGTTGAAAAGGGTAACCTGAGAGCCAAGACAATGGGTATGGAAGACCAATTGAGCTTTGTGAAGGGTGATTTCATGCAAATGGACTTTGAGCCAGAGAGTTTTGATGCTGTCTACGCTATTGAGGCTACTGTCCATGCGCCAGTTTTGGAAGGTGTCTACAGTGAAATTTACAAGGTGCTGAAGCCAGGTGGAACCTTTGGTGTCTACGAATGGGTCATGACCGACAAATACGACGAGACTAACGAGGAGCACAGAAAAATTGCCTACGGTATCGAGGTTGGAGACGGTATTCCAAAGATGTACAAAAAAGAGGTTGCCGACAAGGCGTTGAAGGATGTTGGATTTGAGATTTTATACGAAAGAGACTTGGCCGACAACGATGACGAAATACCATGGTGGTATCCTTTATCTGGAGAATGGAAGTACATTCAGAGCTTTAACGATGTATGCACATATGTTAGATCCAGTTACTTAGGCAGAAAGCTGACCACTTTTGCTGTTGGTACGTTGGAGACTTTTGGTCTAGCACCAAAGGGTTCTGCAAAGGTCACCGACGCGTTGGAGGAGGCTGCTATTTACTTGGTGAAGGGTGGTGAGCAAAAGCTTTTCACGCCGATGATGTTGTATGTTCTCAGAAAGCCATTAGAGTAAAGAAGAGCAATAAAGAGAAGAGAGGCATGATGCGCTTAAATAGCTTTAGATTCAAAAATATATAAATACTCAAATTCCGAACGTATTCAACAAAGGGCTGTAGGAAAAGTGGAAAAAGCGACGTGAGTAAGTTGAGAATTTTCATATTTAGTGGAATAAACTAAACATGAGGATGTATATATATATAAAGAAGACCCCGGTTCCTGTATGAGTTCTAAGAGAGAAGAAGAGAAAGAGAGAGAAAAAGAGATTGATGAAAGACCGCCGTACGATAAACGAAAAAATAGTTCAGATAAGAAAAAAATAAGAGTGAGAAGAATGTAATAAATAGATGGAAGAAGGGTGTGAAGAGAAGAAGAGTTGGAGAAATCGAATCCGTGATAACAAGCCGACTGAAGGGAAAATAATGTGATATAATTGGTACACGCCGAGGTGGAGGGTAAGGGGGGATATATTAGTGGGTAACATCAGTTGAAGAGGAGCCGGAGCGACCTGGACTTAGACTTTTGAGGCAACGGTCTGTTCGGACTGCAACTTGAGCGCGTTGCGCTCGTAGCACTTGTCCTTGCAGATCTTCAAGCCCTTGCAGTTGTGGCTCTCGAGGAGTCTGTGTTTGGAGCAGAACTTGCCCTGGCAGAACTGGCAGTCGCCCACCATTCTGAGAGGCGCCGAGGTGCAGTTGGAGAAGGTGCACTTTTTCGACTTGGACTTAGATCTCGACTTGGACTTGGACTTGGACTTTTTCGTCTTCTTCTGCTGCTGCAGGAGGAGGTCGTCCTGGTCGGCCTCCTCGTTGTCGTCCAGGATGGCGGAGTCGGCGGGACCGGCGGAGGCGAGACTGGCCACTGCGGTGGCGGCAGCCGCCAACACCTGCGGGGACACGGGCATGGTGGGGCTGCCGTCGCCGCTGCCCTCGCTCGACGTGACGTCCAACGTGAGGTACACCACCAGGTTTGGGTTGGCGACCACCGAGTCCGGCGTGATGTTGTACGAGCGGAGCGGCTTGGAGTAGTCCAGCTTGTGGCCGCTGTACCACAGGTTGATGCAGCTTGGCGTGAGGTGGGGGGCCCCCCGCGTGGCGGGCGGCAGGGCCACGATGGCGGCGATCTTCAAGTCCTCGACGGTGGCGTTGTCGGGGACCGTCAAGGAGAGGGTGTTTTCGTTGCTGGTTCTGACAGAGAGCTTCATAGTGTGTGCGTGTGCGTGTGCGTGGGGGGGAGGGGGCGGAGTGGATTGATAAGAGCCGGCGGTGGGATCCGGATCTGCGGCAGGCGGCGAAGGGCTTGTTGTGAGGGAGGGAGGATGGAAAGAAACCGCAGGAGAGACCGGAGCAGTCAGGGCCATGTGTGCTGCACAACCAGACACACCACACAAGAACCAGGGTGGCACCAGAGAAGGGCGTCCCTGTGCTGATAACCGCAGCCCCTGCGGTACAGAGTAGCCGGAGCGTGCAGAGCTGCGCACCGCAGCGTGCGAGCCCCTCCGTGACTCGAGGGCAAATTGCCTGCACCGCAGTGGCCGAGCGGAGGGCAAAAGCTGGCGGCCGCGCGCTTACGTCAGCGCGGAGGAAGAAAAGAAAAGAGGGGAGGAGGCCGACGCTGACGTAAGCAGCAGAAAGGGGATCGTGCTTTGCGAAGAAGGCGATGACGTAAGCACCACCCTTCCATGTGAGCCGCAGCATCATCAAGGACAGTTCCTCTGCAACTCGGGCTTCTATATAGGTAGCGGGCCAACCCCGGGGTCACGTGCGGCCCTGCTATCGCCGGCCTCCTTCCCGCGTGCTGACAGACGCGCGCGCGCTGATTGGCCACGCGGCGCACACCCTTTTTCTCGTGCCCCCCCCCCCCGCCAGCGACCCCTGCCCGGCAACGCGGCCGCGGCATGCTTTCTCTTCCTGGCAGGTGTGTCTCGCCCTGGCTTTGTCATGGCAATTTCTCTCGCTGTGATTGCTCGCAGGGCTGCGTGCAGACGGGCTCACAGGCGTCGGGCAGCAGACATATATTTTATTTTTTGCTTGGGCTCTGTGTGTGTTTTCTATTTCATCGGAGGGGTCTGGCGTGTGCACAGTCAGCGCCATTGCCTAGGAAAACAGCTGCCAGAGTGTCCAGCATACGACCCGTTTACACTGTGCTTGTGTGCGATCGCAAGACAGCTAGCCATCCCCACAGCAGACCCACACACCGACAGACAGACAGCCCTGCTCCGTCTTTTAGCTTTTTTTTGTCGCTTTCCTGATTGCCTGCCCCGCTTGAGTCCAGCGCCGCAGCACCGCTCCAGACCCAGATTAATAGGTTAATCCGGCCCTGTGAGCCGCCCAGAAGCACCGCACAACACACACACACACACACACACACCCCCGCACCCGCACATAGAGAGCAGCACACCCAGCAATGTCCCTGGTAGCTATCAAGAACCTGGTGGCGTCGAAGCTGAGTCCCTCGAAGCCAGAGGAAAACACCGCAGTGGACGAGTCCTCTCCGTTGGTCCGCAGCAAAAACAACAGCTCCAACAACGACAGCGGCAACGACAGCGGCCTGCCCACACACCCGCCGCACAGCGAGGACCAGCTCAACACCGACCTCGAGTCGGGCCGCTCCCACTACAGCCCCTCCGTCAGGTCGTCCGCGTCCACGTCCGCGTCCCAGAACCAGACCCAGAACCAGGACCGCCAGGAACCAGACTCCTTCCCGATGAACCTAATACACAACGTCGACCCCCGCGTGATGAGCGACTTGATCATCGGCTTGTCCGACGGCTTGACCGTCCCCTTCGCGTTGACCGCAGGCCTCTCGTCGCTCGGTGACTCCAAGTTGGTCATCACCGGTGGTATGGCCGAATTGGTCTCCGGCGCCATCTCCATGGGATTGGGCGGCTACCTCGCCGCCAAGTCCGAAAGCGAGTTCTACTACAGCCAGGTCAAGAAGGAGAAACAGCTCTTTTTCCAGTCGGAGGACTCCATAGCAGACGAGTTGTACGACATCATCATCGACATGGGTGCCACGGAGTCAACCGCAGAGAGTTTCGTCATGGACCTCTCGAAGAACCCGCAGGCCATGATCGACTTCATCATCAGGTACGGCAAGGGTTTGGAGGAGCCCCCCGAGGGGAGAATCGTCTCCTCTGCGTTCACAATCGGATCCGGCTACTTCTTCGGTGGATTCATACCTTTGATTCCATATTTCTTTTTCGCCACCGTGGCGAAGGGCTTGCTTGTGTCCGTGCTCGTCATGCTCCTGACTTTGTTTTGGTTCGGCTACTTGAAGAGCATGATCTCCATGGGTACAGATTGCACCAGGTGGACAAGGGTGAGCGAGGGAATCCAGATGGTGTTTATTGGCTCGATAGCCGCCGGTTCCGCATGGACGTTGGTCTACTTGATCGATAACTAGACCTTTTTCTCCACACCTTCGCTCTCTCCGGCTCTGTTCCCCACTTCCCTTCATATATTTCTACACATCTTCATTATAGATATGATATATAGAGCAGTTAGGTAATACAAGATAATATAGGATAAGATAATTTATTCCGTCAGATCACTATCACTCCCATCCACCCCGTGCCTCCGATAACACGCACCAACGCGCTATCAGTAATATCTCTTCTCGCTTCCCCCTCGTCTCGGCCCGTCGAGGAATTTAACACTCTCTTCTCCTAGATTCACTCTTTTTTCCCCCCATACATTCCTTTCAAATTCCGATGCTCCGCCATTGACCTATCCGCTCCAGACGAGACCAGAAAACCATGCTACTGTTACGTCCACTAACGAGAAGAACTGTCGGCGTGAAGCTCTCCGCCCGAGGCCTTTCCTCCTCGCTGCGCTTATCGCAGGTACAACCGCAACAGCAGCAGCCTATCGCTTTCGTGTTCGACATCGATGGAGTTCTCATGCAGACGAAAAACCCGATCCTACCCCATGCACCCATGGTGCTTAGCCATTTGAAAGACCATAACATCCCCTTTGTTTTGCTGACCAACGGTGGCGGCCAAACCGAACAAGCACGTGTCGACTTCTTAAACAGTGCATTGTCGCCATCGGTTTCAGAGGCGGATGTCGGGGACGACAGCGATTCAACGAAACTACTGCACACCTCGCAATTGATCCAGTCACACACTCCTATGAAGAACCTAGTGGACAAATACAAACGTGTTTTAGTGATTGGAGGATTAGACCCGCAGGCTCGTGATGTGGCACTCTCCTATGGTTTCAAAGAAGTGATCAGACCAATCGATATCGTCAGGGCCACGCCAAATGTTTGGCCCTACACTAGGTACACACAGCATGAACTAACTCATCACTCACTGTCAGCGACAGAGTCGAAGATCGAAACAGAGCCAATTGATGCAGTGTTGGTGTTCAACGATCCTAGAGACATGGGCACAGATCTACAAGTGACCATTGATGCGTTGTGCTCGGACAAGGGACTCTTTGGAACAAGGAGAAATTCTGGAGCCAGCTCGCCAAGCGTGCCCATAATCTGGAGCAACATGGATTTATTGTGGAGTACCGGGTACCCGATTCCACGGTTCGGACAAGGTGCGTTTAGAATCTCGACGAGAGAGTTGTACAAGCGACTGAATGACGGCAAAGAGCTCGAAGACACGGTGCTGGGTAAGCCTTGGCCTGTGAGCTATGCATTTGCAGAATGGGTGCTCGGCAAAGAATGGAGGCGCATCAATGGGTCTGCCCAGAAAGGCTCAAAGGGTATCGTTCCGGGCTTGGGAGTGAGACCAAAGGAACAGTTGTTCAAGAAGGTGTACATGGTTGGTGATAACCCTGAAAGCGATATTTTGGGTGGTAACGACTATGGCTGGGAGACAATACTGGTGAGAACTGGCGTCTACAAGGACGGCGATTTTGAGCGCAATCCAAAACTTGCCCGGCCAACGCTAGGTGTCTTTGACAACGTGTGGGAAGGTGTAAGTGCAGCCCTCAAGGCCAACAACATAAAGTAGGCGGGCGACCCAGTTGTGAAAAAATGCTATATCGAATAAATTGATTAAATAGAGAACTATATAATGTGTTTAAGCAAGAATGATGACGAAAGAAGAAGTTGGAGGGGGCTTTGAGAGCGGTCAAATGAGTGGAAGAGGAAATATATTTCAGCGGTTTTTATGCTCTCAGTCTAAGCCAGACCATTCAACTTCAAGGCGGCCATGACACCTTCCTTGACGTTAGGGAAAATGCCCAAACTTGGTCTGGATGTCTCTGGGTTTCTCTCAAAGTCGCCCTCCTGGTAGACACCTGTTCTGACAAGAATGGTACCCCAGTTGTAGTTGTTACCACCTGTGATATCACTCTCTGGGTTGTCACCCACCATATACACCTTCTTGAATGGGGTGTTGATAGGAGGGTCGTTCAGCTGTGGGAGACAAAGGTTGCCCGGTTGCTTCTCGCCCAACAAGACCTTTCTCCAGTCGATCAAGATGTGGTGGGCGTAGTCGTAACAGACCTTTTCAGGCTTGCCCAAGGTCAGCTGCTCCAACTTCTGTCCGTTGATTTTCTCGTAGATGGTGAGCACGGCGATCTTCAACGCACCCATTGCAAATCTAGGCTGTTTGTACTCGTTGGACCAGAGGAAGTCGTTGTTAGAGAAGACAATCGGTATGCTTGGCTTGCCACTCTTGTAAGTACGTCTAGTGCCCAAAACCCCGTCTTCGGAGTTGAGCAAGTCGAGAATGACCTGGAGCTCGGCCCCGATGGCTCTGGAGTCGTTGAAGCACAAGACCGAGTCGATCGGCAAGTTTTCGCCACAGCCGGTGCCGTCGACGTCGAGCTTGCTGCTGGCCGGGTCTCTACCCCACTCCTCGATCTGCTCGTCGGTGAACATGTGGTATGGCCAGATGGTAGGGTTGGCCCTGATCAAGTCAACCGGTCTGATCACGTCCTCGAAACCGTAGCCTTCGGCCACCTCTCTCACGTCGTCCTTTGGTCCTCCACAGATGAGCACCCGCTTGTGGTGTGGGATCAACGTCTTCATAGGCGTGTGTGCCTGGATCAACTGGTCTTCGTGGATCGGGGTCTCCGTCAACTGCAACGTCATGTTGATGAAGTCGATTCTCTTTTTTTCTGTCATACCTCCCCCGTTCGTCAAGAGGATGAACGGAATCTTCTTTTTCGAGAGATATGTGATGATCTCCGTGGCTTCCGCGATTCTCTTTTTACCCTTGAGCAACACTCCGTCGATGTCGAAGACGAACCCGATGTCCTGAGGGCTCTCGAGCTTCTGAGCTACCTCCTCGACAGGCGTGGATAATGGCTTGATTTCTGAACTGGATGCTGTCATTGCTGTGTCTATATTCGTGTATGTTTGTGTATGTGAAAAATGTGTTTCAATTGATTCTTATCCGATGTTGATCTGGGTCTATAAATCTATAATGGCCAAATCGATCTGGAAGGTCTGGGAAGTGTCTTGACCTTTATAAGTGCACAGAGGAAAGCTGCACAGAAAATTTTTTCTCTTCTCCGTCCGAGTTAAAAGAAACGAACCAGAGAGATGTCCCGACATACCACAACGACGAACCGTTTTGTATTTATAAGAGTTGGCTGTCGTTGGCTGTCTGCCATACGCCTGCCTGCGTCAGCATAAACCACTACGGAGTGTCGGGAGCCAGGCGAAAGAGGGAGCCCTGCCGACACGCCGCCCAATCGGGCAGCCCGCAGGGCGGCGTGCCTATTGTTGTCGGCCAGAGCGGGAACAGCGCAGGAGGGGAGGGGAGGGCGGACAGAGGCTGGCGGCGTCGGGCTGCGGCGGTCCTCGGGGTGATGTCATGGGGGGGGGGCGTGTCGATGACCGAGCGATGACGTAGCGCGGGAAAAAAAGAGAAAAGAAAAAAAGAGAAAAGAAAAAAAGCGGAAAAAGAAAAAAAGCGGAAAAAGCGAAAAAAAAGAAAAAAAAGAAAAAAACAGAAAAACCCACGTGATATGTCACGTGACAAGATTGCCGTGCGGCCGCTTGGCTCGGCCGACAAGTCGTGCGGGAAATTGGCAATTGTCTCCACCCCGTCTATCTACCACAGTTTCGGTCTCCCCACCTGCCCTGGCATCCGTTGTTGAGGCTCAGAAAAGTCAATTGGTTTCGTGAGCTCTGTTCTGCTCTGTTCTGCTCTGTTCTGCTCTGTTCTGCCCTGCACTGCTCTACGCGGATGTGCTCGGCTGCGTAAAGATATAGTTCATGCAACAGGAAGCCTCCATGCACCTGAAAATGGACGAGAAGAATGACGCCGGGCTCGGCCTCAAAAGCGACGTCGAAGCCCAGGTGCCAAGACATAGAGCATTTGCCCGTGGCACTGCCTCCCATGCAAAGGGCAAGCTCTTGTTGGCTGCGGCTGCCATGGGTCTTGCTCTGTGGAAGCTCGGCCCCTCAGAAGCAGCCCTGCCCTTTCACGACAGCTACGGAGGCTCAGCAACCACATACGGCTGGGCCTCTTCTATCCTCCTCAGCTCGTTGGAGACAAACCTCGCCGGCGAGTGGTTGAAGGATTACACCGCGGACAACCAGCTTGCTGGCACAAACATCGCCATGGTGAACTACACGCTGGCGAAGTTCCAGGAGCTCGGACTCGAGGACGCCTATGTCGACCAGTATACCGCATACGTCTCCTATCCTCTCGACAACTCCCTCTCGTTGATCGACAACAGCTCCGCTGTCGTGTACAAGCCGACATTGATCGAAGACGAGCTCGAAGAGGACCCGAACTCGTCCTACTACGTTCCTGCGTTCTTTGGCTACGCCGCTTCGGGCAATGTCACGGCCGAATACGTCTACTGCAACTACGGGACGTACAAAGACTTCCAGGCGTTGCGGGAGCTCGGAGTGGACCTCGAGGGCAAGATCGCCATCATACGGATGGGCGCCATCTTTCGTGGATTGAAGGTCAAGTTTGCACAAGAGCAGGGCATGTCTGCAGCCTTGTTGTACACCGACACCGCTGACGACGGTGAGATCGTGGAGGAAAATGGCTTCAAGCCCTACCCGCACGGATTCGCACGTAACCCATCCTCTATCCAGAGGGGCTCTGTCACATTTGGACTTGCCGGTGACCCTACTACCCCTGGTTATGCAATCAAGCCAGGAGAGAAAAAGCCACGGGAAGATCCCTCTGGCCTTCCAAAAATACCGGTTCTTCCAATCTCGTACAGAGATGTCAAGCCAATCTTGGAGAAGCTATCAGGCCACGGTCCAAAGATTGACGGATGGGAGGGCCGCATCAAGGACTACGATTATTCTGTCGGTCCTAACGCCAACTATACGTTGAATTTGTACAACAAGCAGGAGTTCAACATCAGCATCATGAACAACATCATGGGCAAGATCACAGGTTTGGACGACAGCAAGTTTATTCTCATTGGCAATCACCACGACTCCTGGACCCCGGCAGCGGCAGACCCGCACGCTGGTTCCGCATCCATGTTGGAAATCATTAGAGCATTCGGCGACTTGGTGAAGACTGGGTGGCAACCCAAGATCTCCATTGTCTTTGCCAGTTGGGACGGTGAAGAGTACGCGTTGCTTGGCTCAACTGAGTACGCCGAGTACTATCAACACGAGCTAAAGAGAAAGTGCGTTGCGTACATCAACACCGATGCTGCTGTCATCGGACCGATTTTATCGCTGGAAGCCTCTCCTTTGTTGAATGACCTTCTCTTGGAAACTACCAAGGAATTGCAGTATCCTAACTCGACGATAACCCTCTACGACCATTTCATGGACAAGGCGGGCGGTAAAATCGGCACTTTGGGCTCTGGATCTGACTTCACTGTCTTTTTGGAGCATTTGGGGATCCCTTCTGTGGACCTGAATTTCGGAAACGACCCAACCAAATCTTCTGTCTACCAATACCACTCTCTATACGATTCCTACTATTGGATGTCCAAGTTTGGGGACCCTGGCTTTGTCTTCCACAATATGATGGCCAAATATATCTCATTGCTCATTCTCCATCTTTCTGATGAACCTGTTTTAAGACTCAGGACCCACAACTATGCTGTAGAGCTGCAAAAATACTACCATGACTTAGAAATTCCATCTCAATGGTGGAACCAAACTCAAGGAAAGCATTGTGGCCATGGGGGATCTCCATCCAAAGAGTCCTTTGAAACGAAAAAAAAGTATCACCCTCTCAAAAAGTTGATCAAGAAGGTGGACAAGAAGATGCAGGTTCTTGAGTTGAAGACCGCCGAGTTTGATGACTACTTGTGGGAGCTTGTGGACATGTATGACCACTGGGATTCCTTGACATACTGGCAGAGGATCAAGCTTTACTTCAAGACCAAGGGAGCCAACTCGGTTTTGCAGTACTTTGAGAGACATTTCCTTGACCACAAGGGTTTGAACAATAGACCATGGTTTAAGCACGTGGTATATGCGAGCGGAAGATACACTGGATACAAGGGTCAAGAACTCCCTGGATTAGCGGAAGCTATCGAAGATTACAATCTCGACGATTTCACCGAGAGGTTGGGCAAGTTGAGCGAGATTTTGGACACCCTCTTGAGAATGTGTTCTTTGTGATCCAACTTTTTTTGAACTGAATTTGAATTTTTTCAAACTGAATATTTTGTGTCGACGAAACGACTATATACACTATGCAACTACTATACAAAAATTAAACGTAACGTGTTGATTTCACCTTATCGCGGAGCGGGTTCAAGTCTCCTTGGATTCGTATGACTGGTTCAACTCGTTTTTCTGCTTTTTTAGCAGCGCCTGGCATTCGGAAACTTCCTGAAGGGTTTGCAACAGGGCGTCCAGCTGAGCCTTGACGTTTTCCAACATTCGGTTTGTCTCGTGGTCGAGCATGTTCCCCGTCGGGGAGGCCCATATTTTGGCAATGATGTGGGTACGCTTGTAGATGCTACGCATGTTGTCGATGTCAGTCGCGTACTCGTGGCTGTCTCTGAACTCGGGCGGCAAGAGGGCGTCGAATTTCTCGTTTAGGCTGGAAGCGGTGCTGATCTCGTCCTCCAAAAGTTTGTAGAACTCATGCTGGGCAAAGCCGTCGGAAGTGCTAAAGCCTGAGTTGTTGATGAGCTCATAGTCAATGTCCACCATCTTCTTTCCCTGAAAGAAAACGACCTCCTCATCTCTGATATCCCTTATGATTTGCGTTGTATCTGTTGTCTTGAGTAAGGAGTTGGTGAAGATGCCTGAGTTTTTGAAGTCCGTGCCGGCAATGCTGGCGTTCGTGTTGGCGATGGCCTGCAGGGCTTCGCTCATCCTCTTGGCCGGCGGAGGGGAAGGGGAAAATCGGAGGAGCACTGCAGAAAGAAGGACACCGAAGACGGGCTCAGCACAAAGCTGTAGTGAAATAAAGACACGACCCGAAATAGAACGCGTCCGCGACAAAAGTGCGAGTGCAGCGGTTACCGTTGCAGATAAGAGCAGGCGTTTCGAATTTCCAGTTTTTTGTTCATTAAAGATATCAAAAGAGTGTATACAGAGGATGGTCGTATAGAAAGGGAGAGAAAGAGAAAGAAGAGGTGGGCTTTTTTTTGGATTAGGGATATATGTGTAGTATGCGAAAAGGTATGCGGAGACTGTTGCCACCGACAGGCGGCCGGCGGCTGCTGGCGGACACGGTTACTCGAACCGGGCGTTGATCTGGGCGTACTGGTTGCGGGAGTCGTCGTCGTACTGGATGACGACGACGAAGGAGACGTCGTAATCGCCGTCGGTGCTGGACACCAGCTGCGGAGAGATGTACTTGAGCGAGGAGACGCCTGCTGGGGGAGAGACGTCATAGGAGGCGGCGGCGTCGGTCTCGTCGCCGAGGTCCTGGCCGACCGCGGCCGGCTTGCACGTGTTGTCCTTGCACTCCATGAAGGAGCTGCCGGCGCCCGTGTTCCAGTGGAGGTTCAGGCGGTTGTTGTACTGGATCACGTCCACGGACCGCCACGGAGCCAGCTGGACCGGTATGTTGATGTAGAGCTGGTTGCCGCTGACCGCGTAGCTGAGCAGGTTTTCCAGCTTTTCCTCAGGGATGTATGCGGCGGCGCAGCTGCCGGCCAGGCAGCAGATAAGCGAGACGTAGAGGCAGAGCTGTGTAAGTGGGTTCATGGTGTGTGTGTGGAGCGTGGGTGTGTACAGAAAGAAGAGCAAAGCCGAACGGACTAGCGATAGAGAGAGATTAGCGCCAGACGCAACAGCCCATCTGCCTTCTGTCTTTCTGCTTCTACAGCGGCAGCAGCCCGGCGTGTACTTATACTTTTGGCCCTCAGCCTGCAAGGAGCCTGCAGGCTGCTGCGCCGGCCACCACCAGCACCACTGCGTGCCTGACACCGTTCCGCCGGCCGCCTCATACATGGACTACTCGTCACACAGGCCCTGTGCCTGCCGCAAGGGTGTTTCCAAAGGGTTGTTGATCTTTGGGGCTTTGGGTAACGCGTTGCCCCGCTGCCATTGTTTGTGTTTGTCTTTTTCCCATTATGTTGCTGGCGCGCTCCTGGAGCCCTCGTCGACGCGTCGTTATTGTGTATTTTCAGCCGAGAAACCCAACACGCTTTTTTCTGCCCTCCCCCCGTGGGGGGCTCTGCGAGGGCCAGAGCCGCCGCTCTGTGCCGATGGGCAAAGGGGGAGCCTTTGCTGGCCGTGCCCCGTTTGCCCCGCGTCTGTTGTTGTTTTGCTTTGGTCCCGGATGTCGCGGGCAAAGCTGGCAGACAGACAGACAGAGACAGGGCAGTCTGGCAGACAGCGGCTCCTGCACAACATCACTTTGCTTCTTTAGTCGTTCTTCTTGTTTGCCTCCAGGATCTTCGTGGGGTGGGTTTGTGTAGGAGTGTGCTTTGAAGCTGGCTGTTTGATTGTTCCATCGTCCAAAGCCCCCCCTACACACACTACAGACACTAGATATCGCCATGGTTTGCTGCACACTGCTCACCGCTGCGGCCGGTGCCGGCCTGCTGGCCGGCGCCGCCGCAGACTACGTCCAGCTCCAGGCCACGAAGGTCAAGGGCTCGTGGCCCCAGAACGCGGACGTGCACAAGTTCCCGATCTACGCATACTACTCCCGCAGCACCAACGGCTCCGACGCCGCTGCGAACGGCACGGTCGCCGCCGGCGTCTACAACGACAGGGTCTACTACGCCGTCGACCTGGCGCTGGGCTCGGAAGCCCAGAACGTGACTGTGCTAGTGGACACGGTGTCGTCGGACCTCTGGGTGAACTCCGTGGACAACGCCGTCTGCGCCGCCGGCGTGGACTCGCCTTCGAACTTCACCGTCGACTACTCGTACACGGTCTCCGGCGCCTCGCAAAGCAGCCCGGCCCTGTCCTCCACGTCGTCCTCCGCAGCCTCCTCCGCGGCCCCGCTGTCCACATACTACACCACCTCCTACGACAGCGCCTCGGACGTGTTCTACGTCGACGGCTACGTCTCTACCGTCACCACCACCACCGCCACCGAGCAGACAAGCGCCGTCACCACCAGGTCTTACGACGTCCAGTTCTACCCCTCCGCCGCGGTTGCCTCCTACTCCCAGTGGCTCAGCGCATACCCTTACCCAACAAATGCAATCAACAGCCTCGTCGTCCTAGAGGCAGAACCACACAACTGCTCGGCATGGGGCTTGTTCGACTCCTCCTCTTCCGAGTCCTTCGTTACCAGCAACGACACCTTCGAGTCCGTTGCCGAAGACGGCACTACCGTCTCAGGTATCTGGGCGCAGGACAGCGTTGCCTACGGTAACGCTCTCGTCTCCAACGTTTCCTTTGGGCTCGTTTCCAACGCCGAATCAGACTCCTTCGGTGTCTTGGGTCTCGGACTTCCCTCCGCAGAGTCGACATGGCTTGCAGAAAATACAACCTACGACAACTTCCTCGCTAAGCTCAAGGCCCAGGGAGCCATCCACAAACAGGTCTACGCGATTTACGACAACTACCTCTCCGGAAACTCCTCTCTCCTCTTTGGTGGTATCGATCACGAGGCCCACGTCGGCAACTTGACCATTCTTCCATTGGTCGAAGTCCCTATCGCTTACAATGACTCCAGAAACGCCTCCGCTATCGCAATCACTCTTTCGGCAGTCTACCTTGACGACGAATCCAACGGTGCCAATGATACCTCCCTCATTGCCTCTGGCTTGGGCGCAGCTATTATTGACACCTCCCTCGCTACAGCTTCTTTCCCATACTATTTGTATGACGAGATTGTCGCTGCTGCAGGTTTCTTCTACTCCGAGAACCTTAAAGCCTTCATTGCCAAAGCCTCAGACATTGAAAATAAGACCCTTGGCTTAGACTTCCAGGGTGTTGAGGTTGACGTTCCGATCACCGACTTGTCCTTCCCATTGGTCGACATCGTCAACAACAAGACCAGCGACTACGTCGTCTTTGGAGCAGAAGCTACCGCTAACGACACCGTCGTCATTGGTGACGCCGTTCTCCAATACTTGTACTTTGCTGTCGATTTAGAAGACCTCGAGATTGCCGTTGCCCACAAGAACTTCTTCCCAACCTCCCAACATATCGTCGCCATCACCTCCACCTTCCCTCACGCCACATCTGCTGCATCATACAACCAAACTTACGGTTACCACGGCGTCACCGACCTCAAGTTGGCAACCTTTGAAGATCCAAACTCCATCTCGCAAACCTCCTTCTCAGGCTCATTCTTGCCATCAATCACCCTCTACCAGACCACCGCAAGATCTACGACGGTTGCTGAATCTACGACCTCTCCAGAAGTCACCTCCGCATCCGCAAAGGCTGCAAATACCTCCAAGAGCAAGACAAGTAAGAGCAAGACTGCCAAGGCAACGACCACCTCAACTACCAAAAAATGATAATTTTTTCTCTTCATCTCTTTTTCCCCTTTAATTTACGCCAAATTGCGAACTTTCTATTTTGTTCTATTCTATTTCGTCACAGCGGAACAGCTGATCTTTTGATACCATGTTACCACTAATTGAACATACACTGCATTTTTCCAGCAATAAAAAATTGAAATTAACCTTCAATATGAACACTTAAAAAAAAAGTCACTCATCTGCCATTTTATGTTTTTATCTTACACTTCTCGGCCATTCTTACTCTTATATTTCTCAGTATTTGTGTAACTCATTTCTTTTTCTTTTACTTTCTGTGCCTTAAATCGGTTTCATTTTCCATTTATAAAAAACTTTATTTATTGTTACATTAGCCTACAATCCAAGTGCCAAGTTGTTTAGCCTAACCTCACCAGCCGAGCTGTGTGCCAAGACCAGCTATGTACAACTGGAGATTACTTCCTGATTGCTGTGCTGTCTTGATATTGTCTGGATTCTCAGCCTCTTTTAATTTCAGATTTGTCGACCCTTCATACCCGTATACGTAATCCCAGTTAGATGACTTCACTGCGTCGACAATCCCGTCAGTGACAACAACGATCGAATCAGACGACTCCCCACCACTGGTATTCACTTGTCCGAGAGCAATGTTTTTCTCCTCAAGGTCAACAACAAAGAATACTGAGCTCAATAAATCGTCGCCAAAAAGAAAATAATCGTCGTTTGTATAGCTGATGGAAATGGACCTCAAACCTGTTGCTGACAAAGTGTCTCCGTCAATGACAGGATATGTAAAATCTATGACAGGGACTTTAATGAAGGCGTTCTGAAAATTAAAAGTGACGTAGGAGCTTTCCTTCTCTATCTCGGACTCGGACACAACATACGAGTTCAACTGTGACGACCACTGGAAGTTGAACCTGGTAATGATCTCGTTGAAAATATAGTAGGGAAAAACACTCGAAGTTGTCCCTAAATCTAGTATAGCGGGTGCATTGCCAGATGCAACCAGCTTGTTGTTGACTCCAGGGCTTGTGAACGAAATCGAATTGAGAGTGATTGAGATATAGTATGGTCCGTCACCCACTTTAGGACTTACTGTGTAGTCAACTATGGGGACAAGAGTGAGACCTGTGGAATGGTCGTATCCATTTGAGTCGTATGCACCGAAGATAATGGAGTCGGTGGATGATCCTCCATATGGAGCACAGAAGGAGTAGACAACTTTATCTATAATTCCGAGGGTCTTGAGGCGATATGGGAAGCTATCATATTGAGCGTATCCATGCTGAAAGGGGCTCTGGTTTGCTTTGAAACCGAGACCAAGCACACCATTCTGCTTGTAAGTATTGATATTGAGGCCGAAAGTGACTGTTTCAATCTTAGTGTCTCCAAAATAAACGTCATCCGAGACGAAAAAGCCATTGGCTCCTGTGCCGTCGGCGTAAGTTATGCTCAACGGAGTTGTAAGATTACTCATTGTGGTAGAGTTGTCTTGATTATAGACCCCGTATACCATACAGTTGAATACCTGGGCCAGCTTCGATCCTATCCTGTTCAGATACGCCTCATCTGTTGGGCCCGAGCTGATGCTCCGGGTAATGCTAGGATAGACCGGATGAGTTCTGGAAACCTCAACAGAAGGTGGTTCTCTTTTGCAGAAATTGCCAATATTGTTGTCAAAATTCTCATCTGAGCTGGAAAGGTTTTCGTTACCGCCATTAATGCCGTTTCCATCATCACTGTCGTCATCCTCGCCATCCGCCAGACACTCATTGTTGCTCCGCGAGTTCACAATCATGTCTGAAGAGCCTGTGTCAACCAGCAGGATTACCTTATCCTTGTTTGAGCCAATTTCCAATTGTGCCTCGTACATGAGCTGGTCGAACCTCAGCTCCATCTCGAAGCTTGCGTCTGGATGGTCTCTTTTTACCACTCTGTTTTTGTTTTTCAGCAGAAAATGGGGCTGCCCAGCGCCAGGTACCCCATCTCCAAGGGTATCACTCCCACCGTGTCTCTTCTTCACCACTGGAACATGCACGAATGCGCTTTCGGCAAAGACTGCCAACACCGAAGCCACCAATAATTGTTTCAACATGACCATTCTTGTTCTCTGCTACGCTTATCCTTTCTCTTTTCCTTCCACCATCACCATCACCACCTCTGAAAGAAAGAAAAGACCACAGGAAATTGAGGAAGATATCCAACAGCAACAAATGCAGCCACAAAGCACACCGTCAAGCACCACCACCGCAAATGCTCCGTTCTTCTTTCTTTACTGTCCGAGACAGTAACAGACTGACATAATTACCTAATCGGGAACACTCAATAGCAACTCCGAGTTCCGAAAAGGACATCCTCTTGGATGACATAAGCACATACTGCCCGCATCTCCTTTTTCTAAAACGGCTGTGTCTCTTTGCCTATCTTGTTGCTCCGCCCCGGCAACCGATTGTGGTGCAGAGACGACTGCCGACCATGTGCAGAGCCGGGTATCAGCTTTGAAAGGTTCTGACTTCTCCAGAAACACGTGCGTTGACCATCTACAGCTTTTTGACCCGTCTATTATCTCCGGCTGGCCAGCGACTCGACACCGATGCGTCCGATAATCAGGAAAGGAACGCCCGAACAGATGATGTCGTCAGGAGAGTCCGTTCCGATTCTCAAATACCAGGTGCATGATGCGATGCAGAACAACGACATGATATTGGACCCAAGCTGTAGCGGCAGCGGTAATCCGCACAGCAACCAGCTGCAGCATGTTGGGAGCAGCGTGGACTACCTCGGAGCACAGCAGGCAGACGCCCACGACCTGCTACAGTTGCCTGAGTTGCCCGACTTCACACAGCGGCCTAAAACATTGCTAACCAACGGGTTGTTTCCTGATAGCAACGAAGGAATGGACCAGGCTTACTCGAGCTCGACCTTCGACTCGAACTCGCCATACAGATATCAACCGGAAACGGACCGTCACTCCGCGTTCAGCGAAGACCTCTCTCCTCAGCGGCCCTTCTACAGCGTTCAGACTTCAGGCACGCAGAGCAAAAACGCCTCTGTGGCCTTTTTCTCAGACGCCTTGACGGATGAGCACACCTACAATGAGCTACCGCTCAATGAGATTTTGGATGACTTCCAGTACGAAGATGAGGACAACTACAATACCCTGAAAATCGACGAGGAGAGTGACGTAGAGGGTCACTCTCTTAACGGCGACTACCCTATTTCGAGAGCAGAGACTCCTGACATCCACTACCAATATCTAGGTAAAGACATTAACCGCTCCGAGTCACCGTTTTTGAAAAAGAAAGAGCCAGAGTACGTTACTGAGATCCCATCATTTTATTCTGCCAATTTGAAATATCCTTATAAATCCCCTCTAGATTATACCGATGAAGAGTTCGACAAGATGAACCATTTTGAGTTTCTTAAAGATCTCAAGTTTGAGCCTCCGCCCTTGTTACCCGTTTATTTGAACTCCAATTTGTTGAACGATTCAAACAGCAAAAATTACAAAACCTTTCCTTACCAGTATCAGGAGTCTACCGTTCCACATGTCAACGAGATTTATCGATATAGAATAAATGATTTGAATTTGATGGATAAATACAGCGCACACAAGCCTTCTCGGCCACTTTTGAAGCGATCCGGAAGCTCAAACTCTTCATGCTCCTCAACCTCGATACATCGTAGCAACAAAAATGGCGGGAAAATACGTAGCAAGCTATTGAGAGAAAACAGCAATAGCAGCACGAAATCTAACAGCAGACTAAAGCACGCAGATAAGATGCAGTTAATAGAGCGTAATTTGGTTCCACACCATGTGATGCTTAACCATTTGGTAACATGCAACTTTAACAAGGAAGGCTACATCACAAGCTCTTGTATCACAAGATACAAGGGGAAGTTTATAACACAAATCATGTATTTTTCAAATGAACTCGACCAGCTCTAGGAAGAGTCTTTGCAAGTTATGTATTTAATGGATTTTCTACAGTAATCAATATACTCTACTTTTCTCATTCTATACTTGTCCCTTGATATCAACCTTTCTAAACATCCTTGACCTGATATCTTCCACCGTAAAACGTGCCCGGTGGCAATCGAAAGAGGAGCTCTCCACTAGAATAAACCCATCCAAGCTGTTGCTTCTCAAGAAAACTTTCAAATCCTCAGTTTCTTTGCATAGAATCTCTTGCAAATATAAAAGAGTTAGTTGTTTGTATCCCTTGCAAACGATAGAGAGAGTTTGAATGTTAAACCTTTCCATAATACTGTCTATGAATTTCACAAAGTAGAATAATCCATTGTGCCTTAAAAATAAGGCATCTTTGTCGCTGATCAATAGTCTTTTCCCGTTATTAGCTACCTGAGTTAAATCCTCATTTTTTTTATTCTTGGCTGATATTTTTCCCACAATCTTGGATAGTTCATAGTAGTTGGAATCATATACACACTTGAAAATTTGCAGGGCATAATCCAAGTATTCATTCTTTAGATCCGGATGTCTTTCATTGATCAATGATAACTCTAGTTCAAATACCTCACTATAATTGTAGGTAAGTATGTAGTATAAGACTCTGTAAGCAAGAAACTCGAAGTAGTTAGGCTTATGCAATTCGGTTATGCTATACAAGAGCTTGAGTTGTGACTGACATTGGTTGAACTCTCCCCAATCTCCATTCTCAATTGCCAACTTGGAGTGAAATTCATAAGCCATAATCGAAAAGTCTTCCTTTATATTTTGAACGGTCAAATCTTGTCTCATCGATTTGCATTGGTCACATAAATAGTTGTATTTTGCCCCTTCACAATACCTGTCAAAAAGTAGCTGCAAAGTTTTGTGTAACACTTTCAATGGTCGGACAGTTTCTGGTTTAGGCTGAGAAGTCAATCGTAGGTATTTCTTTTCCAAAGTCTGATTTTTACCAACAATCGGATCTGTGGATACTACAGCGTCCCTATAATTACTATTCACTGGTGTGGACAATTCACGTTCAAACCTCTTACTTCGTAGCTCCTTTTTCTGCTCGTTTGTTAATCCAGTGGTATTATCACTAGTTGTATGATTGGTCTGCTTTGATACTCCTTTTTTTTGTTTTTTCAATCTTTTCAAGCTATCCTTTAAAGATATTGAAGACTTCGATCTTTTCTGGGTTATAGGAGTATACTCTTCACTATTCGTGGATCCAGAATCTGAACCAGATTCCTCTTCGCCAAAAATATTTACTTTTTTGTTACTCTTTCTGCAACCGTTAGGCTCAGGACCATCACTGTCAGAGTCGATAGGAATGGCATCAAATGCTTCATCACCCTGTTTCTTTTTGCTCTTATTCCCAGGAGTTCTTTCTTCGTCACAATATAGTGCTAGCTTTTTATGACCTGCTCCAGCGAGCAACGGTAATTCCTGCTTGTCCCAATCATTCTTCATGATATTTCCAGATGATATTGCAATATTGATCAAATTTTTCAATTGGCTCTTAAATTGCTGAATTTCGTTATCATTGAATTTCTTTTTGCTAGCTAACTGAAAGGACCGTCCTATGAAGTTATGTAAACTTTTTGGCCATTTTTTTGGATCCTTCCACTTATCATTTTGGATTGAACTGGCAACCGTGTTCAAGGAAATATTTGACCCTTTGTTTCCATTTTGACCACTGTTTTTCATCTTGAACTTGAACTTCTGTGGACTATCGCTCTTTTCGCCCATCCTAAATCTGCCAGCACAGCTTTCCGTTGTCCGCATTCAGGAAGCTTTCTCAACAAGGGTGTTGATGTGAAGCTTGCAAATTATTTTGGCTTACAATGCACAGAGCGAAATCGTTTTCAAAGTTTTCTTAACCGGCTCCATATTGGTGACGGGGAACAACAACTTTTACAGTTCCAGGCTGAAGCATTTGTTTTACCAGAAGGTCGAAGTACGTTACTAGTTGCGTTTTCCTGGTGACAAACGTCTCTGTTGATCACTGAAATCGAAACTTTGCTGCGTGTAGCTTATAAAGTATGTCAGTTTAGTGTGGTATCAACAAGCCTGGAAGACACCAACAGCACTCATTACAATACAGTACGCGTACTGCAGCACACGCTTACTACAGCAGCTTCGGAAACGTGTGAAGTCCACCTCAACTACTTTTTATTGGCAAAGGTAACAGGTTTTGGGCGACCTCTTCTGAAAGAGTGCTAATTATGTAGGAAAGATGAAAATGAGTCGCATTTTTCTTGAATTGAACAGAGAATGATAGAGGAGGCATAGCGATTTGTAGTGTTTCGATAAGCAGTAGGCTCCGCAGCATTAAAGGAAAGACTTTGGATCAAGACAACTTAGGCAGCATCACCCAATGGAAGATTTGTTCACCTTCGATGAAGACGGATTGACTTCTACCTTTACCCGACAACTCAACCTTAGCGACGGTCAGGCTATTGATGAGCCGAACGACGAAAATAGAAACATAGAAGATGCTCCTGAGCAACTTGCTAACGATGTGAAGCATTTCAGAAAATACCGATCGAATAGCGTGATCTCAGTAGGACACATCGATAATAGACTGGGCACTTCATACGAAGTCAAGTTTGACGAGCTTTATGAAGCAGAACATGAAAGTGACAGTAGACAAAATTCGAACGCTGCAACGACAGAAACTATCATCAATGACAAGCCAAAACCTGTAATTTCAGACTTTCAGCCAATAAAGGTATTGGGAAAAGGGTCTTTTGGGAAAGTGATTTTGGTTAAGCATAAGAAGACGGGGAAGTTATATGCACAAAAGCAATTGAAAAAGGTGACGATGATTGTTAACACCAAAAATTACGAAAGAACTTTGACGGAAAGAACAATTCTTGAAAAAGTAACACATCCAAATATTGTGAAATTGTATTATGCACTCCAAGACTTCGATAAGGTTTACCTTTTCCTAGAATACCTTGAAGGTGGAGAGTTATTTTTCCATTTATCACAAGAAAGGATCATGAGTGAGAAAGTGGCCTGTTTCTACGCTGCAGAAATGATACTAGCCCTAAGGCATTTGCATATAAATGCTGGTGTAATATACAGAGATTTAAAACCAGAAAACTGTCTTTTGAACAGGTATGGTCATTTGGTTCTAACTGATTTCGGTTTGAGTAAAGTTTCTGGACACAGTAATTCAATGGACGGTACAGCCCAATATATTGCACCGGAAGTTATCAAAGGTGAGACCTATGACTCTAGATGTGATTGGTGGTCCTTAGGAGCCGTTTTATTTGATATGCTGACTGGTCAGCCTCCTTTCACAGGTAACAATAACAAAAGAATCATGGATAAAGTTCTGACCCAGAAAGTGAGATATCCATTTTATCTATCTCAGATTGCCAAAGATTTTCTGAACAAATGTTTGAACAAAAACGTCGAGAAGAGAATCAATATCGACGATGATGCTGTCTTTGCAAAGGTCAAAGAGCATCAGTTCTTCAGATACATAAACTGGAATTCGTTAAGAGACCAGAGCGATGATTTAGAGCCGCCTATAATACCCATTGTGTGTGATCCTGAAATGGCTGAAAACTTTGACGATGAGTTTACTTCATTGGAAATCACACCTCCAAATTCTCCAATCACAAAGATGATGTACAATGATATAGAGGAAAGCAGGTCCAACAGTACTTCTTCAATAATAAAGATTCAGAAGTCCGACGAAAATGGAAAAATGAAGGAATCAGTTTATTTTAAAGACTTCTCATACTCCAGGCAACATCAACTAGCATGAAGTTTTTCACTGGTTGAGTGGCTTTTGCTGCGGAAAACCATAGCTTTGTTTGTTTACAAATTAGCCAAGTTCTTTGTACAAAACCAACTTATAAATCTATAAATATTTCGTTTGCCATTATAGCATCATATTCAACGCTTCTTCGACTTCGTCTTACTTTTTTTGGGAACCATCACTACCTGTCCTTCCTTCACGTCATCCGAAGCATCCTTAAACTTCTCTTGACTTTCAAGAAAAAACATCAAATCGGTGACTTGTTCCTGCAACTCACTCTTTTCGTTTTTTAGCTCAACATTTTCGCTTTCAATTAATGCCATTTTTGAAGACAATGCTTCGTTGAGTGCATTTGTATCAGCAAGCTCTTTTTTCAGCTCAGTAAACTGCTGTCCCATTTTTTCATAACTCTGCATTTGCTTAGTTTTTGCTGCCATCTTTGCATTTATATCAAGGATTTGCTTCTCCATCCAGCTCACTTTGTCAGTGAACCGTAAAGATGTTTGTTTCTGGAAAGCTAAATCAGTATTCAGATTTGATATAATATTCTCGTAATGCTCACGTTGACTTTCTAACTGTCCGATTAGCATTTTAGAGTATTCAAAACCAATCTTCTCAACTTTTTCATCACTGGTCTTTTTACTTTCATCTCGAAGTGGTAATTCCACTATTTTCCCATCCGCTTCATTCTGAACAAGCCTATGAACATATCCATCTTCTGCATAATCCCAAACTCGTTGCGTATTAGTTTCCATTGAAAAGCAATGCCCCGTTTCCTTCCAGTGTTCTATTGCATGTTGTTGGTCGTAGCGACCACAACCAACGTTACCACAGATCAAACATATCCACAAATGTTCGGTGAGCCCGCATACCATGCACTCTTCATTGTTATCAGGGCTGCTGGAAGTTTCAAGCAAGGAGAGAGATGAGAAATTGTCCGTTACATTACCAATCTTATTTGAATATCGACAAACTGGACATGTATCATCTTTCCATTTGGATAAGCAAGAAGAATGAAAGGTATGTTGGCATGGAATAGTAAACAACCCAGTCACGCTACTATCCAATCGATCAAGACATACGGGACATGTTGCAAGCTCTGTGTATAATCTTGCCTCTTCTACCGCAGTTTCAGGAACTTCATCTCCATTATTCGTGAATGGGTCTTCAAGCAAATACGGAAGTGCAACTTTGGTATGTTCGCTTTCACTTTTAGTTTTGGGCCTGAATACTATTTCCTTTATCTCCACAACAGAGCACGTCTCTGGTTCAAACGAATTGAACTTGCGGCCTTGATATTTTCTCATGAAAGGTTTCACTGCATCTTTCAAACGAAACTTAAGAAGTATCATAAATCTGTTGGGAGATGAAGACTTGATAAGACGGATGTGGGATAGTTCTTTCGCATCCTCTTCGTCGAAAAACCCGAGAAGCAAGTCACTGGCACTGAAGTAAAACGGGACAGACAATATTGCAAGGGTGGTTTCATCGCCCGGAACATGTTTCAGACCAGCAGAATCAATTTTGAAAAGATTGACATGGTCCTCCGAATCCTTGTATAGTCTGACAACTCCGAAACCAAGAAGCTCCGCACAAAGTTTATCCGTTATGTACGAGCCAGAGCTAGCCTTAGAGGGCAAAAGTTGACTGAAGCTTTGAGAAGCAGACATTTGGATATATGTTGGGTCTATGGGGGTGATCTCCACAGCGGTGAATCTGTAGTCTATAGTATCTGCTTTTGCAGGTGCCTGTCTTTTCAGTTTCAATCTAGTACTTTTCAATCTATCACTCCACTGAGAGAGTGGTATTTTCCTGGCTTCTCCTGAGTTGTCTTTTGGGCAGAATACGTCTTTTTTTTCCCAAACTTTATCTATCCAGCTGCTCCTCCTGAATGTTGCCAAAGGCTGAGCAACGTTTTTCTGCACTAGAGTTTCCAGATAAATGTCTGATATCCTTGTGTCCGACTCAAAAATGTCCTTTTCCGAGAATAGGTCAAAACAAAGGGTGTATCTGGTGGTGCCTTCACCACTAAATTCCATATTATCCTAAAACTGCAGAATAATAAGCCGCTTTAGTCCAACTTCGTCTTCATGTGTGGTCCTTTCCTTTCGATGTAGATGGCAAACGGGCCCAAAAATATGTAATTTGCACAACGCTGACGTACGCAGCAGCTTAATTCATGTCACGTGAACATGAGTGTAAGTTGATAAGGTCCGATTTTACAAAAATACGGGCGCCTTCAGGCTCATTCTTCCCTTTGCTTGCAAACAAAACTCGTACAGTAGTCTGTATAATGAGTCGAGGACTGTAGTCGGGTATCCCCATATGTAGCCACCAGCAGGAGATGCAACTAGCAGAGTCGCAGGGCTCAAACAGCATCCAACCGCTTTTTTCATGTTCATGTTCTGAACTGTGGAGATCGAGATCGCGACTTCGTGATATACAGGCCAGGATTTGTCGGTTTCTGAAAACATGCCTAAATGGAAGAGGAGCCGGAGAAGTCGGGAGGATGCCTTGTAAATGCTAAAAAAGTATAATCCTTGAGGTGGAAGTGGAACGTACTATTGCTACCAAGAATGTCTGACCAAAGTGACCCAAACAAGCCAAAGAAAACCATAGCTGACCTTTTTCAGCAACTAGCACTTGCACAAGAGGAAGAACAGTCTCCAGCAGCACCTCCGAAACCGATGGAAAGCTACAAGTTCTGGAAAACCCAGCCGGTGCCAAGCTTTGACGAAAAGGTGGAAAGCGAGGGGCCTATTGACACCTCCAAGACGCCGGAAACTGTCCGACAAGAGCCATATCCGATTCATTCCTCGTTCGAGTGGACCACTCTGGACTTGGAATCGGACCACGATTTGGACCAGTTGTATGAATTGCTCTACGATCACTACGTGGAGGATCACGACGCCACCTTCAGGTTTGCCTACTCCAGAAACTTCTTTAATTGGGCCCTGAAACCTACCGGATGGAGACAGGACTGGCATATTGGTGTGCGTGTGAAGGACACGGGAAGGCTAATAGCATTCATCAGCGGTGTTCCGTGCGATTTGACTATCAGAGGCAGGGACATCAAGAGTGTCGAGATCAACTTTCTTTGCGTCCACAAACAGCTCAGATCCAAGAGATTGGCGCCTTTGTTGATCAAGGAGGTTACCAGAAGAGTCAACCTGCAGAACATCTGGCAGGCATTATACTCATCAGGCACGGTTCTACCAAGGCCAGTGAGTACTTGCAGATACGGACATAGACCTTTGAACTGGTCAAAACTATACGAAGTAGGATTCAGCTCTCTCCCTCCAAATGAGACAAAGGCAAGCATGGTGGCCAAGACCACGTTGGGCAGTGAGCCAAAAACCAAGGGTTGGAGGAAGATGGAAGAAAAAGATATTTCTACTGTGTGGAAGCTATATGACGCATGGAGAGACAGATACGACATCAGTCAGATAATGACAAAAGATGATATCAAGCATTGGATTTATGGCGGCCACCAGCAAGATGGAAAAGTCATCCATACCTTTGTTGTTGAAGACGAAGAAACTAAGGAAGTTACTGACTATATCTCTTTCTACGTTTTGCCTTTCACTGTTCTACAAAATCCAAAACATAAACAAATTGGAATTGCGTACTTGTATTACTATGCGTCTACCGTCGGGCTAGGGAAAACTAACAAGGATGAAGAGAATCAAGAGCTTTTGAAGAAAAGGCTCAAATCATTGGTCAATGATGCGATGATTGAGGCTAAGAAAGTCGACATCGATGTTTTCAACGCCTTGAGTTCCCAAGACAATACCTTGTTTTTGGATGATTTGAAATTCGGCGCAGGTGATGGCTTTTTGAACTACTATGTGTTCAATTACAGAACAAGTCACATCGACGGTGGTATGGATGAAACCGACCATGACTTCGGTAAGAATGGTAGTGGTGTCGGTGTTGTTCTTTTATAGTACAATAATTTACATGTTAATATATCCATAGACATCCTTATGTATTTACACATGTTATACTTTACTTTCGACAGAAAAGAGTATATCAGAATACTTCCTCCACAGGGTAATCTCTTGTGACAAATCCCATAACTTTACCACGTGACACTTCCAGGTCACTTTCTGTCTCTCTGGTGCCATCTTGGCCTATATCACCTCTTGAAATGTGAACTGCTTGATGCTGATTTTCGTTTCGTCCATCAGTTTCACTGAATTTCACTTTGAATTTCAAATAATCAACACAGTCGTTGGAAAATCCAACTATTACCTCATTTGGAGAATCGAGCAAGCAAGGGTGAACATAACTTTGCGTTGATTCTCTTTCTTCTTCTATCGTGCTGTGCTTCCGGTTTACATGTGATTTGGTGGTTAAAAGTGGTGTGGCGGAAAAATGCGATGTCAGTGGTGAGGGAGAAACAAGTATACTTTTGCCAGCATTATCACTCGGTGTTATTCTGTCTTTTAAATCAGCAGCCTGATTGGATGAGTGAGGAGAGGAATTGTCATTACTTCCATCGAACGTTTGAATGGCCTCTTCATTTTCATCCGACAAGATAGCGCTCTCGTGATTGCCGCTAGTCTCTTGGGAGTTGCCAAGAGAAGAGTTCAGCAATACCGCATCACACTCGTCATCACCATCTAAGAAGTGCCTCAAACTGACAACACTACTTTTTCTCTTGATGTTTCTATCTTGAGACAAACCTGTACTTATCAATAGAGAGTCTATACCATCTTCTGATTCTGATTCAACACTCTTTCCACGAGTTTTGATTGCATCAAGTGCAATGTAATGTAACAAAGGGTTGTAATTTCTATCAAAAAACATCAGTGCCACCACCGTACTTGGAAAAAGCGGTAGCATCAAACCAGCTAGAACGAAAGATTGCTCCAAAGCCAAAGATCCAAACATTTGTAAATGTAGGAAGAAAACACCAAGGCATACTCTCTTGAAAATGATTGGCCATGCTTTCCCCGTGCTATGATATGGATGTACCAGAGAATATACAAGTTGGTATTTATATGTGTAAAATCCCAATATGAAATAGACTAACCCGGAAACAAGAATTTTCGTCGATATTGATGAATAAAGAATGGTGATAATGAAAATCAATATATGCTGAGGTAGAATAAGACCCAAATCAAAGATTTGTGGTTTGTATAAGTATTCCCTGTAAAGTCTAGGTGTTCTCGTTTTGAAGTTTATGACAAAACTCCAAAATAAAGTGCATAGATCACCAATCTGAAGTAGTTTGAAAGGAAACATGGTAAGTCCCTGAAGTAAAATCAAATCAATGTAAAACAAGGAAAGTGATTTTATTGATGTGGCTAATAACGGAGCAATTTTGGTGGTATCCGTTAACAATGCCTTGTAGCTTGAGAGAGTACCAAATAATGTGAATACTAGGAAAAGATTGAAGAAAATATACAAAAAATTCTTCTTGATAACAGAAAGCTCAACATCCCCTTTGGATCCCAAACCTTGTAGACTTGAAAGTAACGAAATAACGTACGGGAGAGCCACATTTATAAGTGTGAACAAATAGGTTGGTAACAAACCCGTAACCGCTGTTCGAACTTTTTCATGTTTGATCAAATAATCGCCGAATTCTTTCCAAATTTTCCTGATGGAATTTACATTAAGCAAAGAGGTGATGTATCTGATTGGAATTATCAACAAACAACTGAAAACAATTATAATAAATTCGATTACGTTCTTTCGAAGAAATACTGATTTGCTGTCCAACAGTAGGTTGTTCCAGTTGACGTCTAACGGAGCAGGTGCCAATTCTGTGATTAATTCGAAAACCTTTGGAGAAAAGACTGCCTGAGCTGCCATCTGTGCATCTGTCACAGAATCCATCGTAACAAATGCAATGGGCAATCTGGCGAACTCAGCCTTCTCTCTCAGTAAGGATATTTCGTCCGAAAGGTTTACCAGTTCTCTGGAGTATGAGTCAATGAGTTCCTTATTTGATTTACTGATCTTGAAACATTTTCTCCTTTTGGCATTGTATTTATCGCTGTCAGTTGCCAAGATGTAATATTTGTCTTCACTTAAATCGCTAGTATTCACGTCTGGATTGTACAAAATATAGTCATCTGAAGGGGGTATCAGTTTTTCGTTGACTTTTAGATGGACTTTCTGAATATCACTTGAGTCAAACAGATTCATGTCAATACCACATGTTTTGGAGTACAGCACTTCCAAAGACTGCACTATTGAGTCACGCTTTTCATATAGTTTCACTAGGGGAGAATAGTCGTATACGAAATTGATTTGCTCAACTTTTCCCACTTGCAATTCCTGTATATGGTCCTTTAAATCGGACTCGTTGCACATTTGGCTCGGAATATTCTTGATGACTATTGTTCGATCCGTGAGAGAGCGCTGAGAGCCTAAAAACTTCTGTCGTGTCTTGATGATGTGATTTGTCTCTTTGAATAAGAAATAGTAGATCAATGCCGTGAAGATGTAGGTGAATACCGTACAAATTGCCAGGTACGCAACAGGCTCTGCGTTCTCGTCTTTGTCGGACCCATCTCCGGCGACTTTGAGCACATTTATTGATGTAAGGTAGTCATTCACGGCTTTGAAGGTTGAGTTATCTTTATCAAAGGACCCCGTCATAAAATATCTCGCAGGACTCAATATGCAAAGACCTAGAACACTCAACGAAAAAAGTATTTTTATTGACATCCTAAAGAAGCACAAGAAAACGTAAGACTCCAAACCGATCACCTGTAGCAATTGATCGTTGTTGATGGAAATCAAAATCCTGATCCAACTGAACATGTCGTTTGGTAGCTTCTTGATGTTCTTGTTCCTATAACTCCTGACTGTGAACAGCAACGGAAGTTTGTACCTGCAAAAACAAAAAGTGAAGAAACAGACTAATCCAAGAATGGAGCAGACATACAATTGCACCTTGAAGAGGGTTTGTGTCTGTCCTCTTGGATCAAACAGAGGGGGCTGGTCATCATCTCCTTTGCCAGACTTATTCCCCATCAGCAGGTTATCCACACCCATTTGCAATATTTCTTGACTTATAGACATTTTCGACTATTTAGTAGCGGCTGCAGTGTTTCTTTTCCAGAGTAAGTATCGATTGTACTGAAACTTGAGGTGCAAAGAAACACGATTAGGGGGTGCAGATCAACACAGTATCAATTAAGCGGGCTGTATCCCCAAAGCCTTGCCCTTTTTTACCACCAAATAAGAGACCCAAAGCCAGCAGTATTATATTGAGCTACTAGCAACAGTTGTGTAAGCTGCAAGTGTTCTGGATGGACACCTGGAGGCCCAAATCCCTGTCTAAACACGTCAAATCAAATCCAAAACATGCGATAAAGCAACAGAAACCCAAAAATGGCAGCCCAGCGATCACGTGCGCATGTACAACATAATAAAATGTCGCAAGGTGAAGAGTTTCCCCCAATTTTCATTTTTCTCCATTTCCATTCGCTCGCTGGGGGTTTAACAGTTTTTTTGTTGTCGGGGAAGCAGATTGACGTTTTGGTGCATTTTTTTCAGAGTCAGACAGTAAGGAACCGCAGGATTGTTGATTATTCCAGATTTCGGGACTGTTGCGACAGGATATATTCGGAGCAAAATCGGTGGTATCGATTCTTTTCCGGCTTCTGCTACTTTTTTTGTCACAACCAGTGGGCTACTGCTTTGAAATTTTGACACTTACAACAGCACTTTCTTTCATTAATAGCTGTTGGCGAGAAACAAGCTGCACCTCATACATTTGATTCGGCTCTCACGTATCGGCATCTACATTTGTGTGTTTGAATAGTATTTATTTTCGCTAGCATATTATTCTCTATCATGGCAGAGGCAGCACAAAGTTCCGACCTCCCACCGAAAAGCACAGTAATCGAGTCGGTTTCTGTGAACGAAACTGTTGATACGGCTTCTCCAGTCTCCAGCACGAAGACGAGTGGTCTTGAAACGATGACGACTGCTCTAGCTTCTCTGACTTCGTCTTCTTCTACACCATCATCTTCAACGACCCCAGGCACAACTAATACAACCCCAGCTGTAGTCACATCTTTTCCTAGTGACTCCGCAACCCATGTCTCTCCAACCTACATCCTTATTGACTTCCAGTCTAATGAAGAGAACAACCCAAATAAAGTTGACTTCAGTGGAGCATCTTACATAATTGTCGAGACCCCCGAGTTCAACATCGTACGGAGGAAAGACTTCAACTTCAAAACTTCAGAAAATGAGCAAGTAGATGGGGCTGATGCTCAAGTCACTACATTTCAAGACTTTATTCAGGATTTGAGCGACTCTATTCACACTTGTTGTATAGTCAAAGAGAAGCCATTGACCTTTGTTTCTGTTCGGGGTTGGGACTTGAGGCTAAAGTTTATCAAGCACGCAAAGGACGTGGGTGCTCAGTTGCCAAACTATCTAGAGTATCCGAGATACTTCGATTTGAAAAAAGAGTTCGTGAAGTATCAAGAATTAAATCAGATGGCTGAGTTTAATTCAATTGAATATTCTTCCTTGACTCTAAATTCTATCAAAGAGGTTTTAAAAATTGACAGCGGTGCCGAATTAAGCTCCAATGTGGACTTGATGCTTGATGTAGTAAAAAAAATATTTGACACCAATACGTCCCCTAACATTTTCAAAAAGCCACACGATATGAACTTAGATTTGAGCCACTTTTTCATTGAAAAATCAAGAATTATCTATATGACAAATTTGCCAAGTGACACAACACAGTCCGAGATGGAGTCCTGGTTCAGCCAATTTAATGGTCGTGCCATAGCCTTCTGGAGTATAAAAGGCCCTGCTCTTGTTAGCCAGGTGGCTCCTCAAGTAAATGACTCCTCTAACTTGTCCTATAATAATAGTTCAGTGTCAGAGCCCGTGAAAACATGTTCTGGTTTTTCAATCTTTGCCTCTCACGAAGATGCAATTGAAGCTTTATCTATGAATGGTCAATTTTTGAACGATAGACTAATTGAACTTCAACCTTCCTCTGTCCGTGTTTTAGATAAAGCCCAGGATATTTTGTCTCCATTTCCATCGTCAAAAAATAAACCTAGACCTGGCGATTGGACGTGCCCTTCTTGTGGCTTCTCAAATTTTCAAAGAAGAACAGCTTGTTTTAGATGCTCTTTTCCTGCAGCATCGGCAGCTGCAGTTCAGGAGTCGATTTATGCTAATGGTCCTTCTTCGAATGGTTCTTCTATCAACGTGCAGAACAAGAGTTACAACAATATGAGCTCTAACAATGGAAATCAAAACATGAATGATAATGGAACAAACTCTATGAATTACAATTCCAACAACAATCATTACAGCAATTATAATGCTTACAATAACAATTCAAATAGTTATAACACCAATAACAAAAATGATGGTAATAGTAATGGTTACAATATGACCATGTCGTCTAGTAACAATGGCAATAGTATAGGCAACAACAATAGTAATGGTAGTAGCAATAGCGGTAACGGAAATAGTAATGGCAATAACAGTAATAGTGGTTATAGTAGCCGACAATGTTCCAATGTTCCTTTCCGTGCAGGTGATTGGAAATGTCTTAACGAAACCTGTGCATACCACAATTTTGCCAAAAATGTTTGCTGTCTCAAGTGTGGTGCTCCAAGAGTTCAAAGTGCTATTATAAACGGCCATGCACATAACCAGCATCGTAATAATAGCGATAATAATAGCATGAATGGTTCAGTGGCTAATAGCGGCACTAACAATAACAATAATCATCATCACAATGGTAATCATAACCATCATCACAACAATGGTAAGAATGCACTCAATCATAATAACCAGCATATTATGAACTCGAACTACTCGTCGAGGTCTAACTCTTTGCCAAGCCACATGAATTCTCAGTTCAACCAGAACTTGAACTCGCAACATTTCAACAGCAACCAATACACGCAGAACCAAAATCAAGGACAGCAACAATCAAATTACAACAAATTCAAGTCGTCGACCTCTGATGTTTATAGTATGGAGATGGGTAATCGTTCTAACCTCATCAGTTCTGTCCCGGGAACTCCAACTATTACTGGGACGCGTGGAAATTCTGGATATACTTCAAATAATCCATCATCTTTGAACATGGCATCAAACCAGGTTTTAAAGGGGGACAACACTGCTTATGATTTGGCAAGCCGTATTGGAGGTTTGAGCTTGAATCATACGGGAGCTAGTGGTAGTAGCAGTGTGAGCGCAACAAGTGGTATCAACAGCATGCTCAATTTGAATATTCCAAACTTGAATCTAGGCAATATGAATAACATGGGCATGAACAGCTTAAGCAATAATATGAATGGTATGAATAACATTCCTATGAACATGAACATGAACATGAATATGAATATGAACAATCTGGGCAGCATTGGTGGAATGAATAACCTTGGCAGTGTTGGCAACATTAGTGGAAGTGGATTAAATGGGCTTAATGGGTTGGAAGGACTAAATGGACTAAATGTATTAAATGGATTGAATAACCTAAATGGATTAAGTAATCTCGGCAGGACGTTGAGTTCTCCTATTGTTTCTGGCAGTCCTGCAGTTGGTGGTGGATCATCTGCCGGCACCGGATTTACATCAATTGGCGATATTGATAGAAGTAGTGGGATGGGTGGTGAAGAAAGTGTTACTGGTAGTAGCTTCGTTGAAAGTAACGGAAATTGATGGAAAAAAAAGTTTTTAATTGATCATTTCATTTTTATTTGTTTTCTTGTTTATTATTTTTTATTAAGATTCACTAAATTCAGAAGTGCCTGAAGGTATCGTAAACCTTCCTTCAGTTTAAGCGAGAGTGAAAAACGTATAACGGCGGTCAGCTCCGATATTTGTCTTGGTGCACCGATTTCTGGGCGAAAAACAAGAAAAAATTTCAGGTTGAGATAAAAATGAAGTTCATTGCATCACATTCAATCTTGTATATATTGGAAAGTAAGTCTATAGAAGCCTGTAACCAACCAAAATCTAAAAGTTCTTAAAATGTCTTTATTTGAAGTAGACGGATGGGGGCTAGAAAAACGGAAAGTGAAAGTTTCAGCAGGGGGAAAAAAAAAGCCAAGAAAGTATGATAATAAGGAACAGAAGGAAGACAATGGAGAGAAGAAGATCAGAGAGTTAGGACTCGACAAATCCAGCGTGGACATTGAACCGAAAAAGCCGAGTAATAACAGCTCGGGGGAGGATAGAAGTCAGGACAAGCAGGATAGAAGAGAGAAGAGTGGTAAGCGTGACAAGAACGACAAGAAAGGTAAGAAGAGAAGTAAAGATGACACAGACTACGAAGCCAGTGAAATCTCTGAGCAAAACGAAACGAAGAGGCAGAAAAGTGAAATACCACCGGGGGTTCCTGATGGAATTGATCCATCGAACCTCACTCCTCTACAACGTAAGATGCTTTCTAAGTTGAGTGGATCTCGGTTCCGTTGGATCAATGAACAGTTATACACGACTGACTCAGCAACTGCTTTGAGCATGATCAGCAAGCAGCCAGAGTTATTCGAAGAATATCATAAAGGTTTTGCTTCACAAGTCGAATCGTGGCCGGAAAACCCAGTGGACACGTTCACTCGTGAGTTGGTCTACAGAGGAGTCAACAAGATGGTGAGCTCTCCTGGCGGATTACCTGGTGTTGTGGTAAACGGCCACAGGAAGGTAGTTGTGTCGGACATGGGCTGTGGTGAGGCAAACCTCGCCGTGCAGATTGATAACTTCATGGAAGAATACAAGAAGGACGGGAAACAGGCGCTGAAGAAGTTCAAGAAAAAGTATGGGGGCGGCAAAGATGCTGCGTTGAAGAACAAGAAGCTCGATTTCGAAGTCCACAGCTTTGACCTCAAGAAGATCAACGACAAGATCACCGTGGCAGACATCAAGAACGTGCCCATGGCGGATGAGAGCTGCAGTGTTGTCATTTTTTGTTTGAGTTTGATGGGCACCAATTTCTTGGATTTCATCAAGGAGGCATCGAGAATCCTCATGAAGGGCGGCGAGCTCTGGATCACCGAGATCAAGAGTCGTCTCTCCGACCCGAAGTGTGTGGACTTCATCAAAGCGATCGAGGGTCTCGGGTTCAAGCTGAGAAACTTCGACGACGCAAACAAGATGTTCACGAAGTTCGAGTTCTTCAAGCCGATCAAGAGCGCCAAGGTGAGCAACGTCGGGGAAATCAGAAACGGCCAAACCGAGGGCAAGTGGCTTCTCAAGCCCTGTATCTACAAGAGGAGGTAGAGGCCTTCCCGTGGGGCTCTAGACTTTAAATGTATACTATACCTATTCTACTATATCCTATCCTATTCTATTCTATTCCTAATACCCCGGTATTTTGCGCGGACAGACTTTTTTCCAATTTTGCGGCCGTCCTCAACATGTTTGTTGGCCTCGCACGGTTGATGGCCACAGCTCCATCGGAGAGAAAAAGAGCTGTGAGTCTTCAAACTAGACGGGTTTTGCGTAACAGGTAGCAACCCAAATGCTTCGTCAGGTAGGTTCAAAGATGGCACTTAGAGTCGGATACATTCCAGAACATTTCTCCACGCCCATTGCGTTGGCAAAGAAGCACGGTTTCTATGAGAAGCACGGTTTGAAGAACTACGAGCTGGTGCCTTATCCGAGCGGGTCGGGCCATCTGATCACGTCGCTGAAGAAGGACGAGGTCGACATTGTGGTTGGACTCACGGAGGCGTTTGTGCGGGGGATTGCGAACGGGGACGAGGAGTACCGGATTGTCGGCGAGTACGTCGAGTCTCCGCTTTGTTGGTCTGTCTCGACGGGCAGCGGGCGGGACGACCTGCAGAGCATCGAGGACCTCAAGCAGGAGGGCAACAACCGCGTCGGGGTGTCTCGCATTGGCTCGGGCTCGTACGTGATGGCCTTTGTGCTTGGCATGCAGGAGAAGTTTGGCCGCCCGTTCACGTTCGAGGTGCTCCAGAACTTCAAGAACCTCCGTGACAGCGTGAACGCAGGCACGACCGACGCGTTCATGTGGGAGTACTTCACCACCAAGAAGTACTACGACAGCGGCGAGATCAAGAAGATCGGCGAGATCTACACGCCCTGGTCCTCCTGGGTCATCACGGCTGCCGCCAAGACCGCTCCGGCCGACGTCGCCGCCTTCCTCCGTGGCACCCAGGACGGCATCGACTACTACAACCGCCACCGCGAGGAGGCCCTTGAGTACATCCTCGCCAACCTCGACTACAACAACCGCCACGACCTCGAGGAGTGGGCCGCCAGGGTCCGCTTTAGCACCGACGTCTCCCACGTCCAGTGGGAGAAGAACATTGTCGAGACCGCCCGCATCCTCGACAAAGCAGGCGTCCTTGAAGCCCCCGACCTTGCCGAGGCTGTTCAGTGTCTAGAGAAGCACCGTGTGTAGGCTTTTACGGCTCCTTGTACAGCATATAAGTAGCACAATCCGACGCAGAGACCGTTAACCATGTTGGAATAGCTGTCACCCGTGTAGCGGCCCGCATCACTGTCCGAATTGGGCACACTGTGCCCCGGGGGCCCTTTTCACGTGGGGGTGCTCCGAGAGGTGCGCATGTGAAAGTGGCCAGACGGTGTCGGTGTCGGAGCCGGCCTTGTGGAGAAAGACGTTTCGGGGGGAGGAGGCCGGACCTGGAGCAGGAGCTGTAGAGAAGAGGAGGGAAAACGGCATAGTTGTGAAGTGCCTGGCACAGCAGAAGACAAAGTGTGGAAGAGGGAGGAGACGGAGCATCAGGCGCCCGATGACCACGCGAGAAAGCGCAGAAGAACGGTCGTCCAAGACACACAGCACGACCGCAAGGACAACAGGAATGGACGTCGAGCCACACACGCTGCCCCAGCCGCTGCAACTGCCGACGCTGACTGAGCTGCCTGTGACGCCGACATTCCATCACGCAGAGCTGCAGCACAGCACCGCCCCCAACAACATTGACTTCGACACCGCTGCATACATGTTGATGGCCAGCGACGAAGACTTCCAGCTCCCGACGGGCACGAACTCGCCCGGGTTCCGCCTCAACTCCGCCACAAACAGCCCCGGATTCCATCCGTCGAGGCTTCCGCTGCCGTACTTGTCCTCCCTGGCCGGCGGAACCCCGCCGGCGTTCGACTTCGACGCCATAGGACAGCTCTTGATGTCCCCCAACTCGAGCTCGTTCGCCAACGCGTCGGCTGGCGGCGCCGCCTTTGCACAGACGGAAGACCACTTCCAGCCGCCGAACACAGCACACTCCCAGCCTTTCCAGCAGGACTTTCTGGCTGGCTTTCCAACGCATTACGATAAGTCTCCACGGCTGAATCTTCCTGGCCTGTCTTCCCTGCATTCGCACGCACTGGACGGATCACATGGCGACAACCCACTGTTCAAAGAATACCCGCTGTCCTCAGCCCCGTCGCCCAACTCCCGTCTCTTTGCGTCGTCTTTTAACTCGCCGTTGGCTGCGAGTGCGTTGCCCTCTCCGATCATGGCGATGTCCCAGTTCCCAAGCAGCCACACGGCCAGCTCAGGGGCTGGAGCACGGAACGCTGTCGCTTTTGACTCCGACGGATCCTCTGTCGTTCATCCTCCTGCAGGCTTGGGCATCAACGAGCTGCCGAAAAGACAAAATACCATAGCTGCTGCCGCCAGCAGTAGGGAATTGTTGAGCAATACCGAGACGCTGGCTTTGGAGTCGTTTTTGGACTCGATTGCGAACGAGGGCATGGTGTCCAAAGCGAAGTCCAGGGCGGCAAAGGACAGAGGGTCCACCGAGAACAAGAAAAAGCGTAAAATTAGAGCAGTTTCGGGCCAAGAAGATACGAATGATGAAAATGTGAGCCCCGCCAACACCAATAGCGGAGAAAGCATGAAGAGACGTCACGTATTGGTAAATGCGTCCGCTGGGTCGCCTGTGGCTCCAGTTGCAGAAAGTGGCGCAGAGACGTCTAAGCTGTCTCTGTCGAAGCAGGAAAGGAAAATGGTTCATAACTTAACAGAACAGAAACGCCGAGATATGATCAAGGAGGCATTTGACTGTCTACACGAGCTAATAAAGAGCTCTCAGTACGATCTAGAAGACAAAACGCTGCTGGAGCAGCAGGCCAAGAAAAGGAAAAGGAAAAGAAACGCCAGTGGAAGACCGATGAAAAAGTTCGAAGTACTGAGTAGGTCAGTACGGGAAATCGAGATCTTGCTGGAAAAAAACAACTCGCTATATACTTTGCTCAATGAAAAGAAAACGTAGATGTGAAACCCTTGTAGCTAGCTACATCTATCATCTACCTCCTCATGTATACTTAAATAAACTGTCGCAATGAAAAGCTTTAACGCACGTAATCTAATGCGATGGAAACGCGAATAGGGAACATGAATTTTCTGCAGCTGGCTGTAAGAGGAACGATTTGATGATAGTTGCGGAAAAGTAAACAAGAGGAAATCGAACAGAAACGAGATCAAGTCTGGTTAATTCACGTTCGCTTTTGTTTCTTTCTTGCAAGATCTTGCTCAACAAACGGATCATGTACACTGGGAATAACCGGAGGCACGAAGAAAACTGGCACTATGACAAATACAAGGATCCGCACGAATTCCCCATTCTAGATGTTTCCTCCGATGAAGAGAGATCCGAGTACGACTCGCATACGGCAGAATCCTCAGCAAACTTATCCAAGAAACTCCCACAGATTTCCGACGAGAAGTTCAAGCAGATTTTGGAGCTTCGCAAACAGAGTAAAAAGCGGGGCAGGAATTTGATGCTATCGAACAAAATCAACGACCTCCCTCAACCGGCGGTCAGCGATAAGTTGCCGATTCATGAGGATGGAAAGGCAAACGAACCAGCACTCCGTAATGCCACAACTGACGAGAATTTACTGAGTGCTTCTACGCCTAAAGTGAACAATACTGTGACTTTCAACGAAGAGTCGTCCTCTTCGAAAACTAATAAATCAAACAAGAATATTTCACATTTGCTTCTCCAACAGGAGAATGAGGCTGCATCACCTAACGATAAGAACTCCACTGAAAGTGGAATAGAAAAACTGATTGAGACTCTAGTGGAGCAGATGCAGCAAATAAATAACCTCGAGGTTCAACTCAACAAAAGTAAGATCCAGGTCGTTAACCTTGGAAGTAAAATAGTGGTACTTGAAAATGAGAACAGTAAGTTGGCCGGAAAGGCAGAGCAATGGGAAGCTGAAAACAAGGAGGCCAGAAATTACCAACAGAGTTTAATGCAAGAAATAGCATACTTGCAGGAAGAAATGGCAGAGTCCGAGAACAAATACAAGTACTCTTTCAATAAATCGGCTAAGCTAGATAGTGATTTGAAGAAGGAGAAGTTACTATTGAAGAAAGAGCGTGATATGCATAAGAAGATAATTCAAAATTATGACTCGAAATTCGAAAGTTTGCACGGCGAAAAAATGCAAGCTTTAGACCTGGTGGAGGAAGAAAAAAACGAAACGGCATTTTGGAAAAAGAAATCGGGCATGTTTGAAGATGAGTGCAAACGATTGGAAAAGAAAGGAAAGCAACTGGAAGAAGAGCAGGAGAACAAAATTGGCAGTCTCGAGACAAAGATTGAACAAATAACTTCTGAATGCGAATTGCTAAGAGTAGAGAACGATAAGCTTGCAAGGTACGAGGAGGACTATAAAAGTCTGAATCAAGAGCATGAGCACCTCAAAAAGTCAAAGGACAATCTACAATCCAAGGTTGATGAACTATCGGAAAAGAACACCACCTTGAGCACGGGTAATGTTACGCTTAAAGCTGAACTGACGACAAAACTCGAAATAGTACAAAACGAGTTGGTAAAGGTGAAGGAAGAGAACTATGAATTGACTATCAGCAACCAGTCACTCAAATCCGAAATCCATATTCTGAATGAAAAGCATGAAGATTTCACAAAGAAGATGCTGGGGGCGTCGCCAATTACCGATGAGCAATTTGGAGCCCGCTATAAATCTCTTGAAATGGAACAAGTGGATCAATTGACGTTAATGGAATTGCAGAACATTGTCAAAAACATTTTGAGCTCTCTCAATATCAAGTACAGTGGTTTGAAAGGACACATTGTCTTTATCCGTGACCACATTTTTGTGTTTTTCAACGAGATGCATAGCATTCTGCATAGTGAAAAACGTGGCAATTCTGTCATCATTGATCGCTCGATCAAGTTGGATACTTCCGACGAAGCCAAGATGAAGGCGTGTATGAATTTGCTAATCCAAGATATAAAGCAGCTGAAAGGTCTTTCCGGTTGAACTGGAAAATCTTTAATGTTGTTGATTTGCTACGTGTATAGAAAAGAAGTCTTTTTAATAAAATCGTGTTTAGATGTGCATGCATGTACAGAAGTTAGAATCCATGCATTTAAATATAATTTGCATCGTTACCTGTACGTATATGTAATTATATGGTTGTTGAAATAAATAAAGAGGAGAGAAAATAGAAGCTTAAAAAAGAAAACCCAATGTTGTTAATCCGTTCCGTTTATTTTTTCAAAGTAGCCAAATCAATTGGGCTACCTGGAGTAGCAATGTAAGGATACAAGATATCGGTGAGGAACTCAGCCAAAGGCTTGGCACCGGTCAATTCGTCCTTCAAAGCTTTAGCCGCAATGGCGTACTTGTTGCCTGGCTTGGAGGCGCACTTGGCAACCTCGTCGTCAATTAATTGAGAAACGTATTCTGGAGTGACAGTCTTACCGGTATCTTGTAAAGTGACTTGATGCTTACACCAAGACCATAATTGTAATCTGGCGACTTCTGCAGTAGCAGCATCTTCCATCAAGTGGTTGATTGGAACACAACCAAGCCCTCTCAACCAGGATTCCATGTAGTTTAAGCCAATGTAGACATTGGCGTTCAAACCCTTGGTGGTGATTTCACCACCTTTAATGTTGGTGTCAACCAATTCTGCCTCGGTGACAACATCAGTCTTTTGAACAAAGATTTGATTTGGAGTTGGCATGTGAGTTTCGAAAACATTAAGAGCAGTTTCCAATAGACCTGGGTGAGCGATCCAGGTACCATCGTGGCCAGCAAGAACTTCTCTCAACTTATCTTTTCCAACGGCTTCCAAAGCAACTGCGTTAGCAGCTGGGTCATCCTTGATTGGGATGAGGGCAGCCATACCACCCATGGCATGGACACCTCTCTTGTGACAGGTCTTGATCAATTGCTTGACGTAGTTGGTCATGAATGGAACAGACATGGTGACTTGTTGTCTATCTGGCAAAATGTGTTCTTTTTGGTTTCTCAATCTCTTGATGGTGGAGAACATGTAATCCCATCTACCACAGTTCAAACCTGCAGAGTGATCCTTCAAAGCATACAAGACTTCATCTAATTGGAAGGAGATTGGCAAGGTTTCAATCAAGACGGTAGCCTTGATGGTACCTCTTGGGATCTCAAGACTGTCTTGAGCAACACAGAAGATGTCGTTCCAAAGGTTGGCCTCCAACCAGTGCTCCATCTTTGGCAAGTAGAAGAAAGGACCCAAGCCTTGGGAAATCAAGTACTTGGCGTTGTGGAAGAAAAACAAACCAAAGTCCAAGATGGAGGCGGATATTGGCTCGCCAGCGACAGTAATGTGGCTATCAACCATGTGCCAACCTCTTGGTCTGACAATCATGACTGGGACTCTTCTGCCTTCTCTGTTGATCTTGTAGCGCTTGCCGGTCTGTTCGTTGGTGAAGTCAATCTTGTCTCTGATACCGTCGTAAAGGTTGACTTGACCGTAGAGCATGTTGGACCAGGTTGGGGCGCACGAGTCCTCGAAATCGGTCATGTACGTGTGGACGTCGGTGTTGAAGGCGTTGACAATCATCTTGGCGTCTGGAGGACCGGTGATCTCGACCTTTCTGCTCATCAACTTAGGGTGGTTTGGTGCACATCTCCAGTTAGGGTCGTTTCTGATGTATTCCGTCTCCTTGAGAAAGTGCAAAGACCCACCAGCGTCCAATTCCTCCTGGACCTTCTGTCTGTTGACCAAGAGCTCCTTTCTCTTCTCGTTGAACGCTCTGTGCAACATCACCACAAACTTCAACGCGTCCACAGTGAGGATGTCCTTTGGTGTGGCTTCCGAGAGTAGTGGCTTGTCGGACACTTCGCCCAAAACTTGGACGTCATCAAGAGAGGTGACAAATAATCTAGCTGGCATCGTTGCTTGTTTGTGTTAATAGTGTGGTGTCGAGTGTGTCGTGGGTGTGTGTCTTTCGGCGGCTTGCAAGGACTGATCGTTTGCAATTGGCTCAATTGGTTCACAATCAAACTCTCAAACCGTCAACACAAGCCAAAATACACCAACATGGTTCCCTGAGGGCGGGATCCCTCTCGATATTTATAGGGTGCTCAGCACCCATCTTGCAAATCACACACGTCCTGACCCCAGATTGCGCAGCCTTCCCCACTGGGCCGAACCGAGAGCCCCCAACTCCGTCTCTGCGTGCCCTCCGTGCCCTGCGTGTCCGCAGCCATCCCACCCATCCCGCACCGGCCCGTCGTCCGCAGGGCATACACTGCAGTCGGAGGCGTTGCCCGTATCCGTCGAGCCGGTCCGCGGCGCCTTCCAGCGGGGGGTGGGCGCCGGACGAGAGGAGCGGGGCCGGGTCTGACAGGGCCAGCAGAAGCTGACATGATCCTGACTCCGCCCCGCACCGGTGCCTGGCCGGTTCCTGGGTCGGGACCCGTTACCGCTTTAGGGCAGCGCAAACGAGAAAGGGCAAAAAAAGACAATGCGGGTCGATCGGCGTGGACGTGGATTTCTTTTGTCGCTACCGGGGCATCGGGACCCCGATCTCACTGACAAGACGGATTCACGGCTCAAGACCGTCCGCCGGCCAGCCCCGAGGGTGTCATGCTGCCCGTTGAAGACAAAGGATCCGCCGGTGGGGGCGGACGGTCGGTTTGCGCTGCTGCAAAGAGATCGTGGAAGCGTGAGCCGGAAAAACGATACAACGGTTTCGGAAAAAGTTCTGAAATTCGTCTAAATACGTCTAAATACGTCTAGTAACTATACGACTTGACCCGGCTGAACACAAAGTCCTTCTCGTTCTCCCTGCTCAAGGAGGAGTGGGTGCGGTTCACCGTGTCATAGAAACCGAGGTCCACCCACTGGAGCTTGTTGTGGCGGTGATACTTGCCCGTGCTTCCGATGGTGAACTTGTCGATGAAGCGGTACTTCTCCACGGGGCCGTCGCAGTTCGTCTCCACCTCGCCCTGCAGCGTCATGTGGAATGTCCCGCCGAAGATCCGCAGCCAGCTGCGGTTGCTGAAGTTGTCCACGGGACTCTTCACGTCGTCCTCCCGCGCGTCCTCCCGCATCAGCTCGACGTCCTCGCTCACCTTGTACCCCTTGTGAAGCTTCGGAATGACCTTCTTCGGCTCCAAAACCGTGACGATCTTCAAGCACGTGCCGTCCGGGTAGAACCTGTAGTACCTGTAGTACGTGATGATCCGGTACGGCAAGTTCCACGAGTTTGAGTTCTCGCTCCGGGCACCTTCCTTCATGTACGACACCTTGCTGATGTACACCCCGCGGTACTTGAGAAACGGCCTCATATTGAGCATCTGGTAATGGTTGATCCCCCACTGGCTCTTGATCAAGTACTTGAACTTCTGCTCGTCGTTATCCCGATAAACTTGTTTCTCGTACACCAGCTGACTCAACTTACTCCATATGTTCCTGTCCCGAAACCCGATAAACGCTAGTTTTTTACAGGACACACTGAAATCAACCCACGTCGGCGTATCCCACACCATCAAAAGTTCCATTATGCTTTCGATCACCTCGTAGGGTAAATTCTGTAGATACACGGGTTTCTCTTCGTCCGCAGCTACAAACTCGCACACCGAATAGCTATCCAATAGCTCAATCAATCGTCCCCGATTAAGCTCCAAGGGTTTGACGCTGCGGCGCTTCAAGTTCCCCACACCCATCACTCTATCTTTCGTGTTCAACATGGGCTGTTTGCCTTCTTCCATCTCTATCGCTGCAAAGTACTTTTCTCGATATTTCAAGTCAACTTTGTCGTCTAGCTTGAAAGCCTTCCAATAGTAGTCGGCTGCATCATTCAACTGCCCAACTTGTTCTTTCTCCGAGGCTAGCACGAACAGGTCAAATGCAATCTCTTCCCTGCTTTTGGTTGGATGATCATTTATTTCCTTGATAGTCAATCCCTGCAGTTCCGATTCCAGTTTCTCTATATCCAGTCTTGACATAGCTTTCCATCTAATTATCCTATGTAGCTTTACCTTTATCAAATCAAGCTCAACAATAATAAGGCAGTGACTTAGCTCTCTATCTGAATGGCAAAAATTCGGTGCAGATACGCATCTACTCGCATCACCCTCGCCTCACTCATATCGGAGCACGCCACTCAATACCAGTGCAAGAACATGACAAATCGACTTAGGGGCGACATCTCACATTGATTGAAAGAAACCTGAGGCAAGCTCCGTTATCTAAGATATGTACATAGTACCAGGGAATCAATGAGAAGGTTTCCCAAAAGCTTTTTTCTAAATGGCGTTGGTGTAAATTATAAACTTCCTTTTCTTTGCATCAGGAAATGAGGGTTCTATAGAAGAAAGTTTGCAAAGCACTAAAAGCCCCTCCACATTGCTAATAGTAAGCATGCTTTCTTTCGGGTACTAATTCCGATGCTGGACAACGTTTTTCCCTAGAAAACATCAAGCAGTACTTTGCCTCTTGAAGGCACGTCCCACCTGAAACTCACATCGCACGCGTCGGAAACGGGAGCATGATTTTTTCAGATGTGTCACAAAGATGTGCTAGAAAAGTTCCACTCCACTACCACTCAGCGCTACAGGTTCCATTATCCTGTACCTTCCTCTTGTTTAGCTCTAGGCTTTTGAGAGTCAACGTGAAGATGAAGGTTGCATTTTTATTATATATATTTGCGGGTATTGCTCTGAAACTTTTTCCCCTCGTCACATTATAGGGATCAAATTATGGTTCGTTATGCTTTATTCCGTATACATCGGTCTCTCCATCTCTCGTTCATAATCCTTTGGCTCCAGCGAGCAGAGTATAGTGACAATGAGTAGCATTGAAAAGAGGATAGATTTTGTCAAAACACAAGCGGCAAAAGTTTGTGAAGAGTATAATCTTTCTTTCATTGGATTTTTTCAAAATGCTAATCGGAGCTATGAACGTGTTATCCTCGAAGGAATGGATTGTGCCACCCCTAACGGATCATTCTCGTCTCTGAGTTTCAGCAATCTTTCTGCTTCTTCAGAGATACAGTCAGCACTGGCAAACCTAATAAATCCAAACAAAATTGCAACATCATCACCCAAAAATAGTTCGTCCGAGGTAAATACCTCCTTATCATCATCTTCTTCTCACGCACTCTCAGGTAAATCACGACCTTATAAGATAATAGTAATAGATCCTCACAACAAAGTTGATGTGAAAAATTACCTTTATAACTGTTTCGAAGAATTTCAGCAGATTCCCTGCAAGCTTCTTTCTAAAGCTTGGATCAAAGTAATAGAGCCAAAAAAACAATCTAAATATCCTTATAAGCAGGGAGAATCTTCGAAGCCTTACTGGTGGCCTGCCAACTGTATTCATAGAGAGCCAGATCATTTAAAGAAAGATGAAAGGATAAATCTTCTTATCAATATACTGCGAATATTCAAACAAAGAGAATCTGAATTGGTTTATACGGCATCGCTAATCAAAGGTTTAGGGCCCTCAAATAAAAAGATCGTAAGGTCCGATAATGATTTTAGTCAGCGCAGAATGGACATACTGGAAGACATGTTTAGAGTTGTTAATGCACAAAACGAGTTCAATGTCAAAAACCTCAAGGTAATCAAGCCAGGAAAGAAGTATTCCAGTTTGATCTATCAACATAACAAGCCTAGTTATACAATTTCTGAAGGTAGTCAATCTATCTCAAAATTCGATAAAACTCCCAAACCAGAAAGTTTACTGAGATTCCCCGATTTGCTGGCAACTCCTCCATCTTTAAAAGCTCCTTCCTTAATAAAGAATAGCAACAAGTTGTTACCTCCCCCTCAATTTTCAAATCATTATGAACCATACAATGAATTTATGGAATGTATTTCTAATCGATCAGATAGCGAAAAGGCTGCAGCGTTTGGCAATCAATCCACAACTCACTACAATCCATTGCTCTCGTCTCCTTTTACACCATCGAATATAATCAATAGTAAATATCCAACACCCCAGTATACTAATGGAAGTAGCAACGTCCAACCACCAATGCAAAGTCTTCACAGCACAGCTCAAATAAGTGAACAACACAGCAATATTAATCCCCTAATCCAGGATAATGAGAATCTTATGATTAATGAACCCGCTATCGATCCCACGTTATTCTCAAATCCTTTAGTTTCTACGGCAAATAAAACTGCCTCACCATCAAAATTATTTAAACCACTAAAGTGCAGTGCATCTCCTCCGTCTGGAATATTTGTGCCTCCTAAAAATAACTCTGCTTTAAATATTCTGACATCCTCGAGACTAAACTCCATTAACTCTGAGTTGGATCGAGCATCGAAAAGAAACTGTCTCTTCACTACATTTTCGGTATCAAAAAACAAATATGGTGATAGAGAGGGTTTTCAAAATAGTACAAAGGAAAATGAAGGAGATGAGACAGATTACGAGTGACTAAGCAAACTATTTAGTAAACGTAGTTCATGAAAATATATTTTACATTCTTTGTCGCATTGAATCCAGCCTCTTCTGTAGAGAAGACGACAGTAGCTTCAATGATAGAAAGCCAATTTATTTGCAAACCAAAAAAAAGAACGTTATACTCCTTATCAGGGGCTCGAACCCTGGACATTTCGGTCGACTTCTTTCGAATTCTTAAAAGCCGAACGCTCTACCAACTGAGCTAACAAGGAATAATCGCAGATTTAGGTGCCGCGCTCAAATAAAATATAACTAGGCTATCACCCCTGCGAAAATCAAGAATAAACAGATTACAACATACCTCCGTATAGTTCAAGAACCATACCGATTTGATATATTCTCAAACTAAAATACGTACAAAAAAGGTTGAAATATTAATAATAGTAGTAACAAAGGTATAAAAGGTTAATTAAACGTAAGAATAACAAAACAATGAAAAAAGATGAAGGGGAATGTATATATGGTATCTTTTTATGCCATTCAAACAGAAAGTTTAGAAACGTTGTCCGAACCGTAGAAGTCATCGTAATATGGTGCAACAATGGCACCAGGGATGTCATCTTCAATAACTATGAACTCATCCTCTTCCCCTAATATGGAGTAAGCTAATCCAATTTCGTTTGCTTCAAGGTCAACGACAACAAGGAAGTTGTCCGTCAAGAAATCTAAGCCCAAAACAATTGAGTCATCATCACTTGGCAAGATTGAAAGAATATAGACATCAGTTTCAGAATAAAACTCAAAACTGTCGGAAGAGTCGGTATCGTTCGAAGGTCCAGTGCCGTTAAGTGTAACAGCGAACTCAGCAAGAGGAAGAGAATATTCAGCACCTTGGAAGTCGAAGACAATTTCATAGTCCCACAAACTGCTATAACTAGAATTGTCATATATAACGTAGCTTTCGATTGAGTCAACATAAGTAACGTTGAGAGTCGAGTTTAATGAAGTAGCAAGGGTATCTAATACTTCTTGGGGGAAATAAGTGTTTTGGGAGGTAGTGTCAATGAAAGCTTGGGCCTTACCTTGTACGACTGGAATTGTATTGTTCGAAGAATCTTCATCATAAGCAAGGAGAGAAATACCTGAAAGTGTTAAACCAATTGACTCAGTGTCATTCAACAATGGGAACAAGGTCAAGTTAGAATATGTGAGGTAGCTGTAGTTGATGGCACCAAATGTAATTTCAGAAGGTAAGCCGATAGTGAAAGAGTATAGTGATTTCAATATGTATCCACTTTGAGCTAGAACATCGGTAAAAGAAACAAAGGTGGAGTTTTCAGTTGTCTTACCAAGACCAAAGACACCAACATTTGAGTCGGAAAGTTCGGAAACACCAAAAGTGGTGTTGACAGAGTAATTGTTAATCGAGACAGAATCGCTCCCTAAAATACCATATGAGCTTTCATCCGAGGAAACAAAAAGCTTATCACTAGATTGGAAGGAAGTGGAGGCAGATTCGTTGAAAACACCGTATAAGCCACAATCATTGTAAAGTTCATGAATATACTCTAGAGTTTCGTAGTCAACGGAAGGAGTCGCAAGCGCAGAAGCGCTGGCGTAAGCCGAGAGAAGAACCGGGGATGGAGCATAAACATAGGATGAAGCATGTGTAGAGGTGTACGATGAAGCGTGATGAGAAACACGTGAGGCTTTGGAGGCAAAGGAAGCAACTCCAGTAGTCTTTGAAGCTTGGGAAACATCAGAGGAAGCCTTAGACTTATGGGAAGCGCTGGATTTATGATGCTTAGTGGTGGTAGTTTTCTCGTCTCTCTTCTTCAAATCGTCAAAAAATTTATCGGCACCGGAGGTGAACTTTTCCCAGCCGTCTTCTCTTTTCTGGAGTAATTCCCAGCTGGCTAAGGTGGAAGCGACCGGATAGTCGCTACTGCCATCAAATGGGCCGTTTTCATCGTAACCACCAGTTACCTGAACGTAAGTGAAGGAAGCGGTGGAATACTGGCTGTATGAAGTGACCAAGCTTGGATTACCCGAAAATGGCAAAGCCTGGGCGGCGGTTTGAGAGGTAATGGTTGCACCAATTTCGTTGACTTGAGAAGGTAATCCAGCCTCGAAAGTACTCCATGCATCATCCCCGGTAGCAGTGGCGGTGGTGAGGTAAGTCTCGATTTGTTGGGAGACTGATGCCTTCTGTTGGGACAAGAAGGATTGGACGGCGGATTGTCTTTCACTCAAGTAGCTTTCGATGTTGGCCGAGGCCGTTTCCACGGTGGAGAACTGAGAATTTTCTGCACCCTCGAAGTCGCTGAAGGCGTCTTCAAACTCGGCTTCCAACTCGGAGTTGAAGTCGTTCCAGTCATCGTTTGGATTGGTCTCGTTCAAGTAGTCTTCGATAGGATAGTATGCGAGACAGAACTCGTTGGTGTTTGCGTTGACCCAGAAGTCAGAGGTGGTGGTATCTAGTTTAAGTAGCAAGGTCTGGTTGCTAGAGCCAATTGCGACCTGGATGGTGGGCAAGTAGGCGCCACTCAAGTCCTGGTGAATAAAGTTGAAGGAGAGGTACTTGTCCTCCGCGGTGGAGTTTGCTGCAGCGACAGAGCTGTTGGAGTCTCTCTTGTACAGAGGGAACGCATTGACAGCGTTAAGCAGCGCAGACAACACTATTGGGTTGAGTAACATTTTGGCTGTTTGGCTTTGTTACAAGAAATTTTTCAGCACCAGAAGGAAGAAGAGAGGCAAAGCGAATGAAAAGAAGGGAAAAGAAATGATTAAAAGGGACGGGGCGGAAAGAGGACAGACCCAGGCAGGGATAACTGACCTCACAGAATGGAGGCGGAGTGGGGGGATAATAAAGCGGACGACGAGAGAACAAGGCGGCGGAGTGCCAAGGGAAAGGAAGAAAAAAAGACGGAATCCAGCCCACAGTGGAGTGAAAAACGGCATCGGACGCCACTGGATATTGCCGGAAGTATGCTATTGATCTCTCACGCTGCCGCTGCCGCTGCCGAAAATAACAACAATAACAATCGTGCAGGCAGTCTGCAGACGGCCGATCAAACGACAGGCGGACGTGGGGAGGGCACACCTCCACACACACACATTCTCTCTCTCTCCACCCCCGACTCGTCCACCGCAGCCCATATATCCCAATCCGTGCGTGTGGCAAGAAGCGAACAGCGCCTGTCCATGCTCAGGAGAGGGAAACATAAACACCCAAACGGGCTCCACAACGCCTTCTTTCCTTGACAGAACGGTTTCCCCAATTACATCGCGCAATAAGGCAAGGGCAACAATGCACGCCATCGGATTGCCCAAACGGAGCAGCGCCGGCAGCAGCACCCGATCCGGAAACTTCCTTTTTTGCGAGCCTCCGCCATGTTTACCTTGAGCCCAGAAAGGCACCCGCGCCCGCTTTCGCGCCACAGGCCAAGACATGCCAGCCCGCACTGTACCGTACCGTCCCGGGCCGGGCGCAGCCAAATCGCTCGGAGTGGAGTGCACACACCTTTTCTGAGGCGCTCTACGACACTGCGGCGGGACTGCTGCGGCACCACAAGGACGTTCCGGTAAAGGGCATTACAGTTCCTTTGAGAATCTCCTGTTGAGATAAGATGCCGAAGCCAATAAGTATCAATAAATTAGAGAAAGAGGCTTATAAAAGACAAGGCATCAAGTAATCTAAAACTGGAAAGATTAGCCGACGTCATTCGTGTTTAAATAGAAGAGGTTTTGTCTCCTATCTGTGTTTAGAATTATTAGTCATAAGTAGTTGTATGAGTTGTTTTTAAATAAGCAACAACATATGTATAATTGAAAAAATACCACCGTTATGCGCACCCCGATCACTTGCATAGCGCTGCTTCTGCTGGTAGTATATGCGCTAGCCGATGACTTCATCACCCCAAGCAAAATCTATGACTGGGTGACCGGGAACATAGGCTTAACTAACACAGAGAGCGTTATGGTCCTAACGGCCGGTATCGCATATGAGACGCAAACCATGTTAAATATATGGGACCGGTGTTATAGCCATTCCGGCTACTACGTTGATGGCAGAAATTGCTTCAGTGCAGTTCGTGTCGGCATAATAAGGTGGGCTATAGAGCTGGCAGGATTAGGTGTAATTACTGGCTGGTACAAACGGGACGTTCTCGACCAAGTTCCGTATAAAGTGGTGGAAGTCGGTGCTCTAACTGGTTATGCTATCAATCTAAGTGCTACGAATGTAACCTCGTTGCAAAAGCGTAATAGTGAGGAGTTTAGCTTCATGGTGGGTAACGACACATTTACTTACGCACCGATGATGCTGGACGATATATTGGATAACAAGGCAAATCTAATATTGCTCAAACATGAGAATAATGACGACAACTACCCTGTGTCCATGCTTGAGGCTAACAGTAATGGCACCTGGGCGTTGAATTTTATGGATATTGCCCCTACTATCAAGCGTGATGGTGTAGATGGTGACCAGTACCTTAGTGGTGCTGGGGGTATAGTTATCGAGTGTCAGTATGGTGGTGGTGTTGGAGATAGCTATGATAATGATCAGGGATGGGTCGATGCTGTGTCTAAGCGCCAAGGGTACGATCAGGCCATGTCCGCAACGTATAATTTCTATCACGGCTATATCGGCAGCAGTAGTAGACTAAAGTGTGCGACAAAGATGTACACTACGGACCAGAATATGCAGACATGGCGCAATTGGAACGATGTATGGTCATCGTTCTGAATAAGACCTAGTGTACTAACATAATTTCAAGTCAAAATACAATTAATATGATCAAGAAAGTTTAAACTAGTTATTAAAGTAATTATTAATAAAAAAAATGAAGGATCTTGGTGCAGTTTCTAGGTTCTTGGGGATGCAAGTTTCCCAACGTCCTGGTGTGGTTTCCATGCATCTCGGTCAATACTTAGCAGGATTCTTGGGTGATTTCAATATGTCTGACTGTAATACAGTTCAGACTCCCCTTGCTGCTGCTGCGTCCTTGGTCCCTGAGGGTAAGCCGCTGTCTGATGAAGATGCTTCCCTGTATCGCACCATGGTGGGGAAATTATTGTTTGCTGCGAATACAGTGAGGACTGATTTGGCATATGCGGCCTCGGCCCTGTCAAGGTTTATCAAAACCCCGTATGCAAATCATTATGCTGCTGCTAAACATGTTCTTCGGTACATAAAAGGTACTCTCGGTTTAGGATTAGTATTCAAGAAGACCACGAGTTTCAATTTAGTTGGTTACTGCGACTCCGATTGGGCTGGTGATAAGGTGGACAGAAAGTCGATTACCGGTTATGTTTACATGTTAGGAAATACTGCAATAACATGGAAATCCACGAAACAGCAGACGGTGGCGCTATCATCTACTGAGGCAGAGTATATGGCACTGGGTGACGCAGTTAAAGAATTACTATGGTTAACACAACTGTTGAAACACATTGGACTTAAAATGAACAAAGTCCCCTGCATCTTTGAAGACAACGAAAGGGTGCAGGATGTTATCAACGCATCCCGGTACATCACCAGAGAACCAAACACATTGATATTAAACATCATTTTGTTAGACATCATATTTCAGAAGGAAACTGTGAAATAGTTTCAATCAACACTGA